AAGTCTGACCATGAGCCAGGCTCAGGTCATACTATATACAAGTTCTGCACAGTATCTCCTGTGGTGGCTATGTAGGATATCCGTGCTATCCAACATATCCATGGATAGCTGGGATAGCGGACATATCCAACATATCCATCTTTGCCCTGTATCCGTGCTGTTTCTAAAGTCACGTGACCTGTACCATAGTTCTTCCTTTCCCGATGGTTCCTGGTTACACCTGCGTTACTGCTTACATATGTTCTGCGTTAGCCGCCGAGATGCCAGGCGGGGCTGTTCCAACGTGTCATGCCTGTCGGGTCGTAACACAGAGGTCTTGTCCGCCGACGAGGTCAGCGGCCTTGTGCGCTCCGGGCCCCGTCGTAAGAAGCACGAGTTGGCCGCAACACGGGTCGGGTCGTAGTCTGCAATATCAGGATGGATATCCAGACTTGAGGCCTAGTTTGAGAATATGCTTGCCAGTGGTAGGTAACTTCTCACAGCATTCAATCTCACGAGAAGGAGTAGCCTTTGCATGTGACCTCCCTTAGCACAGATTGCTTTCCCCATTATGGTCTGCCGCAACAAGAAACATTGGTGTCTAGAACGTTCTCAAGGGCCCTGGATATTGCATCAGAAGGAGAGGATGACAGCGTGCAAGCGAATACAGGCAACGGAATAAAAGGACGACAACGAGAAAATAGGGACACGAATAAGGATGAAAACAAATGCCAACGTTCGCCTCATCCAGCAATCAGGAAGCTAACCCCCGGTTTGGGCCGCCCGACAATGGGTTTGTAATAAGGGAAAGCCAGAAGCAGTCACGTCACAGCTAAACAAAAGCAGATCATTGGAAACAAGTGGCTACAACGTAATGTCTTGAAACATAAAGCTCTCCTCATAGTCTCATTGATTATCTGCATCCATTTCATTCCCACCACAGTATCTGCAGCATCCACGGCCCTCTGCGTAGGCTCTCTAGGGTATGTTATGAGGGGAACCCCGACCACTTCCTCCGGATGTTCAGCTTTCTTTTTCGTTCAGTAGAACAGTAATCTGGGCTATGATGGCAATCTTAGCGCTAAGAATCGCCACCCAGCTTGTGAAGCGAACAGCCCGGACTTTGAGCAGCACATACACATGAGCGGATAGGTCGCTGGCAGTCGCATGTGCCCACCCAGAGAGGTACTTGCACAACTGCCGCGGCGTTCCATGAGGGGGGAAGTACCGAATTCGGTGCCTCGCAATATTTCCCACACCTTCAATTGACTAACCCACAAAGGCTTCAAGGCTTCGCTCAAGTAGCGAGGAGATTCCTCATGTTGATTTGCATCCGAGCGCTGTGAATGCCGCTGTTGGGAATTCCCGTTTCGTTCCTTCCGCTCCGCTTCGCCCCACGTCAGGAGCCACGCGCCGGAAGGTACCTACCTTTTGATTCAGACCTTTAATTCTCCTGCGCTAGAGTGACTATCTTTTCTGTGTGCTCGCTATCGTTGCTACTTTCGTCGCTATCGGCATTACTAATATCGTCATCTGGTCGCTGTTTATCGTCGTCGTCGTCGTTGTCGTCTGTACATAGGAAATGTAATTGCCTAGGCAGAAAGGAACATCAGGCCTTCTCTTTTAAATGCCCAATAATGCGTGACTACAAGAACAAAGCTTATAAATATATATCTACCATTTATGTTAGGAATTAGCAATCTAACGCCAAAGGTTTCATAGTTTTGACCTTTTGGTTTTGCTTTTTCTTTCCGCCTCACTCATATTACTTTCTAAACTTTCAGTAGCACTTGTCGCAGTTTCAAACTCCATTCGGAGATATACCTTCCCGCATTATATATAGAGACTCCTCTTTCCATCTGCATCAACTCAGCTGTCAGTTACCTCACTTCGAAAGTTTTCATTGGGGTTTATTCTAGCCTTCATATACTGACATTTCTGTAAGCTATCCTTGCAGCAAACGCACGCCATGGACCCTATGCCCGACGACGCCTTCATTCCCGGAGACCGCGATTTTCTCTGCTCTCCACGATGTAGCCTGGTTCTCACTCCTCATGAAGCGCCGAAACCGTGGGGACACCATTACCCAGATCCTTTCGATCTTAAACCTGCCGACATGGGACCGACCGATGAGGAGAAGAATTTCTCCCAAACTCAACTGGTTTTCAGTGAAAATAACAGACCCCTTCGCTTCGACCAAGAGAAGCAGAAAGTCAAAGACGAACAGCTACACGTCGTCATTGTCAAGACGATACCAGGTAACCGCGGTAGAGGCGATTTTCCTGGTCCTCATAACCTCTTATGTAGAGTCACTCGGGCCCCCGCAACAGAAGCACCTTAGCGTGGGTGATTCAGTCTTCATCAAGGTATATGACCCCTTGTTCTGGTGGGCAACAGATCTCCTTGATATCTATTTCAAGGTTACAGCTACGGCAGACATGGCCTTTTGCGACGAAGTCGGCGCATACTCCTTCTTGCAAGAGAAGGGTCTCACCGGGTTCCCGCATCTAGCTCCAGAGTTCTTTGGAAGCTGGACAGCAGCGGTGACGAGTAGCAATCCCAAGTACGAAGGGCAAACTCGGCATGTGGGAGTACTTGCGTTGGAATATATCGACGGCATCCAGCTGGATAAGCTGTTCACCCCTGGCACTAGGCCTCGCTCTCAGACTGTCACCATGTATTGGGAAACCGATACTCCTGTTTCCTTCGATACTAATGAAGAGACCTGCATGGGGGTGATGAAGAAGCTTATATGGGAAAACATGGAGCAAGAGTTTGCGGGCATCACCCATGGAGACATCCATCCGAGGAGCGTCCTCGTCTCCATGCGCAACGGACACGATATCTTGGATTCACCTCGGGTTTCCCTCATAGGGTGGAGGAGATCGGTCATTGACGAGATCTCCAAACACCCGCAAAATGCCTTCGCCTACTACAGCAGACCGATACATCCGTTTAACCGATTCAGCATCATCAGACTGCGCGACTTCCTCGGATGGATCCCCCGAGACTGGAAAGACCGTGAAGACAACCCGCGAGACTCTTGGCAGCTCCACAAGTGGTTTTTCGAAACGTTTGGCACCATAGTCAACGAAAACAACCCGAACTTTCAGGCTTGGCCGGAATGGGCTCTGTTGGATCACGCTTTCATGGGTCTGACGGTCAGTGAGGATGCCGATGGCGATAAGGAAGCCATCCCATCCATCTGGCAGACTTGATCCAGCAGCCTTTGGCCTCTTGGTGGCTAAGTTGGATCTTAGACCCATGACCATTAGTAGTTTGGTTTGATAATAAGTGAGATTGTCAAGTATCTAATGAAAGTAATGAAAGTGCCCCCATTTCTTACTTCCATAATCTTAGTAAACTTCCGTTAAAGCGAGTGAAGGAGCTCTCAAATTTTATGTTTACAGCTCTCAGTTGCACTTTTGACATGACAGTATGACTAAGTTTCTTCAAAGTTTTCACAGGGCCCTTACGTTGCCTGCGCTGGAAGCGACTTCCTTTTCTGACAAGTCGCGCAGCCACCGCTGTTTTGGTCGTCGCTGCCATTTCTCTGCTATCGTTATCGTCCCTGCCGTCGTCTCTGTCGTCGTCGCCAGCGTCACGAGGCAGACCACAGTGATAATGATGGGGAATGAAATTAAGACTATGTCATTTAGCCTCTTCTTCGTCTCCCTAGGCTTTGAGTCCTGTGGGTCACTCCATCGCCCGCCCACACCCGGAATGGCCAACCTTGACTGTCCAGTAAAGAACAAAATAGGCTTTCCTGTTCATTATTCCCATTTTAATTCTTTGGAACCTCTTATATGCAGCAATGCCCATCTCCTGTTCTTATCTTTCACTCCTCAGTAAATTTCCAACTATCTTCATCTTCCAAGCAGCTCTGTCAACCAAACGGAATATCAAGCGAAAACAACTTTACACTACCCCAAATCATGGCTTTCGACAATGATTCGGATGTCTACGAGGATCATGCAGAGCTGTATCACTCTGGCAAGCGCCTCATTCTTACGCCACATAAGTCACCTGCACCCTTCGGCTCGTCTTTTTACCCGGATCCGCCAAATTTGACATCGAAACAAATGATTCCTACTGATGAGGAGAAAAGCTTTTCACGTACGCAACTGGTCTTCTCTGAGTCCAACGGTCCCCTCGACTTCGACGAGACAAAGCAAAATGATAAAAGCAGCCAGGTGCATTTGGAGATCCTCGACATGGTTGATGGTGGATATGGTGCTCAATACACCCCCAGGCCCCAGAAAGTCTTGTGCAAGGTGGTCCAGACGGCCTCAGCCTCTTCTGACAACAGCGAGAACAAAGCTCCTGTGCTTGAACAGCTTGTCTTCTTGAAGCTTTACGATCCTTTGTTCTGGCCCCTGAAGGTTGATCTTTCCGAGTTCTGCTTCAAGGTCACTGTCCGAGCGGGCTTTGCTCATAGCAACGAAGTCGGCGCCTACTCTCATCTCTTCAAAGCAGGTTTGACAGGCTTCCCACACCTGGCTCCTCAATATCACGGATGCTGGACCGTTTCTGCCACCAGCGCCGATCCTAAGTACGCGGGAAAAGTTCGGCATGTGGTTGCGCTGGCCTTAGAGTATGTTGAGGGGCGGTGTCTGAGTGATCTTTTCCAGCCAAGCGGGCCCTTTCGGGATCGCTTCCGATCCAGTTGGTCCAACCCACAGGAGCCGCCGACCTACATCTCAGCTGACGAAGACACTCGTCTCAGCATCATGGAAAAGCTCATGGATGGACTCATATCGGAGGAATTCGTCGACGTGAACCACGGCAATTTTCACCCATCAAACATGATTATTTCATTGAAAAACGGCCAGACCACACTCGAACAGCCACGAATCGTCCAGATCTCATACCGCAGATCCAAGGTGACAACTTTAGGACGGGATCCCTACAAGGCCTATCTCTACTTCGCGAAGAAGCCTCATCCGTTCATACGATTCAGCATGGGCAGGCTTGCGCCTTTCTTTGGATGGATTCCCCCATCATGGGAAGGCCAAAACCTCGGCCGTGACACGCCTCTTTTCCTGTATCGGTGGTTGGCTATCACGTTCGGCCCATTCGTCGATAATCCAACATATACGTATCGTGGAAGTCCACCTGCTGATATGATAGTGGATGCCAAGGGTACTGTCAGCCAATACTCCATGTACTTGGAGAACAAGCGCCTTGAGGAGAAGAGGCACCTTGAGGAGAGCAAACCCGACGAGAATTCGGAGGAGAAGAGGCCTCGTGAGGAGACCGTCTTGGCTGCGGAGGTGCTCTAGGCCAACTACACACGTCAGATTAATTCAACTCTCCTCTCATCAGACTGCTAATCCGAGAACGGTTCTCTGTCGCGATGTTTTTCTATGTCATCAAATTCACCGTATTTGGCCGGTTTCTACGCAATGTTAATAAATTATAATAAAAGTCCCCGAAAAATATTCGTCCAAAGTCCAGGTGATGTCTGTTGTCTTGCACACAAAACATGGGATACGTCGGAGGTCGGTATTCTTTAGCGCCGACCCCCGATCTTCCACGTGCCATGCGCCACACCAGCCACCGGCGCCGACTACCGCGCCTCCGTCTCCAAATCCCCCAACCCAGCCCCAATCTTCAGCAACCAACATGCATTAACTTGCCAACGAACAAGGCCCGGAACGCTTCTTCATCCCCAAAAGTAACATTTCTGCCGCCGGAACCATGCAGAGCTCTTCAGCCGCACCTTCGCTCACGCCAAAGTTGGCCCCGGCGCCCTTCATTCAGCGCTCGCTGGCAGTCCGACAACTCATTGAGGCGTTCCTCGCGTGAGCGTGGCAGCCCTACCATTCTCTCATCGTCGGCCCATCCCTGTCCGCGCCGTCTTACACTCCCGCCCGCTGAAAGCTACTCCGACCGCCGGGGGCAGCGTGGCAGCCCAGCGCTACCCGTCCATCTTCGTCAATCCCTGCCCGCCCGCGAAGTAAGCACGGAGCTTGTGATGGCGAGGCCCCGATGGGCTTGTTCAGCTGATGTCGGGCATGGAAACTCTGAAGCGTATCGAGTCTCTTCGTTACGACAGCATGGAGTACTGGTCCGAGGAGACTGGATTTAAAGTCCAGCGCTGCCTCTCATTCCCCAACGCATTTGGGACAGTGGCCCATCACCAAATCACTAGCACAGTGACAAGGCAAAACACCAATCAACAGAACCAGCCATAACGATAGACATGTCGACAACAGACGTACTCATCGTCGGCGCAGGTCCAACGGGCCTGACCCTCGCCCTCGAGCTCTCCGTCCAAAAAATCCCCTTCCGCATCATCGACAAACTCGAAGCTCCCTCGGACAAATCCCGTGCCCTGGCCGTGCAATGCCGCACGCAAGAGCTCCTCAACCGCCATCCCACCGTCGCCAAGGAAATGCTGGCGAACGGCGTCCAGGGCCCCGGCGTCAACATCCACTGCAACCAGAAGCACCTCATCACCGGCACGTTTGACGACCTTGGCTTCGACGACACCCAGTTCCCCCTGCCGATATGGATCCCGCAGGGCGACACCGAGGCGGCGCTGACGCGGCAGCTCGAAGACTACGGCGGCAAGGTTGAGCGGGGCATCACGGCGGAAGACATCGAGCAGGACGCCGACTCCACCACGGTCACGCTCGTCAAGGGCAGCGAGAGGGAGGTCCTCAAGGCCAAGTACATCGTCGGCTGCGACGGCGCGCACAGCGCCGTACGCAAGAGCACCGACCTTACCTTTGAAGGTGCCCAGTATCCCCAGACGTTCATCCTCGCCGACATCAAGCTTGGAGGCCCCTATGATACCGAGAGGGTGTCCATGTACCTTGGCGGGCGCATCATGGTCATCTTCCCTCTGAAGGACGGCGTCGTCCGCATTGTCGGCGAGAGGTCTTCATACAGCAAATACTCTGGTGATCCGACTGTGCAGGAGATCAAGGAGTTCATTGAGGAGTTGGCCGGGGGCACGTGGGAGGTCACCGATCCGATCTGGCTGACGCATTTCCGCTGGAACTGCCGAGGCGTGAACAATTACCGCGACGGACGCATCTTCGTGGCCGGCGACGCGGCGCATATTCACTCGCCCGCCGGAGGGCAGGGCATGAACACCGGTATCCAGGACGCCATCAACCTTGGCTGGAAGATGAGCGCCGTCCTGCGTGGAGAGAAGGACGACTCGTTCCTGGACACGTACCAGGAGGAGAGACACCCGATCGGCAGCCGCCTGTTGCATAGCACCGATAGGATGTTTAACGCTGTCGCATCGCAGAACTTCATCTACACATACATCCGCAACAAGTTGATGCCCTGGATTGTGCCGTACATCTGGGGCGACAAGGCGCGCCGACTCCGTGCATTCACCTTCATCTCCCAGATGGGCATTAAGTACCGCAACAGCTCCATCGTCCACACCGCGACCGGTTTCGAAGGCCCCGTCAAGGGCGGCTGGAGAGCCCCGGATGGCGAGCTCCTAGATGAGAGGGGCGAGAAGGGCAAGTGGCTGCTCGAGTTGTCCAGCAACAAGGAGCACACCATCATGCTCTTCTCTGGCATGCTTGGGGACGAGGAGGAGGTGAAGCAGGCGGAGGAGAAGATCCTCGCCGATAAGCGCTACAAGGAGCGCGGGGTTGTCAAGGTCTTTGGCGGCCAGACGATCGGCGCGGGAGGATTTAGAGACAGGGACGGCGTGCTTCACAGGCGCTACGGCTTCGAAAAGGGGGCGGGCCTGGTGGTCGTCAGACCGGACGGGTACGTGAGCTTCGCCGGACCTGCGGAGTCGGTGGAGGAGTTTCTGTCAATCTGAGAGGCGCCGGTTACGGCCCATTTGAAGACTTTGTTTCGAGGACAAGGAGTTTGGCGCGGTCTGCGGATTCGGATAATTACTCTCCTCTGCTCACAATTTTAGAGGCTTCTACTTTTGAATGAAACGTGTTCATGTTCACAGTCAGCCGCCGGACTCCTCGACGTCCATCGTGTTGTTGTTGAATCCCTCATCCGAATCAGATTGACGAGCTGCGGGCTGACGAGCTCAACAAAGGTCCGAGGCCCCGGAGACTCTCCGAGCCAACGACCGAGGAAGCAGCCATGTCCCCTACACGACAGAGCCGCACTCCAGCAAACCAATGACAACATCTGTGGTCCTCCTCCCTTTTCCAAAACGTCGTCCAAAACCGAACGACATCAGACTGACAGCAGCATGGAGTCCCCGCATCAACTTCGAGATGCCCATTCGGACCGACCAGGTGGTTTTTTTTTGTCCCTTCCCCGTTTACCCACCGACAGACGCAGCTGTCTCCCCCCACGGGAACAATGCAAAGATGTGGGCGACCTACGTATCTGACAGCCTGACTAAGTGCTCCCCAACGCCACGCCAGAATGTGACAAAGGACAAAGAGCCAGTCGCCATCGCGGGGCCTGGATTAAGCTTCGACGACAGCGATGGCCCCGGCACCCGTTTCAGAGCCGCGGCGGGGCCAACACGACGTCATCGCGCGCTAGTTCCGCCATTCACGACCAAGGAAGCCGGCACCAGAGTGGATTCCCACGATGGAATTGACGACGTTTGTCGCTGTGTTTTCTCGCTGGCTGCTGCTGACTCTTTCTCTTGTCGCCTTGCCTTGGTTTCCCGCCCGGGTCGCGGCGATCATCTATGCGGGAGCAGACCGAACACCACCACGCTCCAAGTGGCAGCAACACCTCCATCCCCCCTGGCTCTCGACTGCCCCCTTCGGCCTCTCACCCCTGCACCCATCCAATCGCTGCCATCATCGCCCTCCACCCCCCCCCCCCCTGAACCTGGCAACCTGCACCCCAGATCCAGCATGGCCAACACCATTCGGCCCGTCCTAATGAGCGCCAAAACCAGCGGGCAGGTCTGGAGCGAGGCAAGGTACCAGGCGCACGTACGCCGGCTACGTACCCCCATCACCGCCGCCGCACCATGACGATGACATCGTCTGTTATCCACACTTGTACCCCCATCATGGGCGAGAATGTGCGACAGATTGAGCGGCGTGTCCGGGGCTGACGCCGGCCGGTGCAAGTGCGGCTGCGGATACGGAATGGCTCCGAGCGGGTAGCTAGATTGATGCGCGAAGATCTCTTGGCTATATAGATCTGTGTAACGCCGCCCTCCCTTCTTGTGACGGAGGCATCGGTCTGTTCAGGGCCTGCGATACTCGGCACCTTGCAATCACCATCGACTCACATCCCTATTCCGAAGATCGTGTCGACTTACATCCTCTCGATCCTACTTCTCGACACTCATACTCATCACCGAACCCATTAATCACCATGGGTTACTTCGGCCTCAAGGGCGGCTGGCTCACCTTCTGGGTGACGGTCGCCTGCGCAACAGACATGACACTCTTCGGGTACGCATTGAAACCCCCATCCCTCCTCCTCTCCGCCACTCACCCCCCAAACACCGTCCAATCACACCCAAGAGCAAAGGCTAACATCCCACCCCCCAAAAGCTACGACCAAGGCGTCTTTGGCGGCGTGATCGTGACCTACGACTTCCTGCAGACGATGGGCATTGTCGGCAACGACAAGCTCCAGAGCACGGTGACGGCCATCTACGACATTGGCTGCTTCCTCGGCGCCATCTCCACCATCTGGATCGGCGAGCGGCTCGGGCGCAAGAACACCGTGCTCGTTGGCACCACCATCATGTCCATCGGCGCCATCCTCCAGATCGCGGCCTTCAACTATGCCACCATGATGACCGGCCGCGTGATCGCGGGCATCGGAAACGGCATCAACACCTCGACGGCGCCCGTGTGGCAGGGCGAGACGAGCAAGGCCAGCTGGCGTGGAAAGTTGATTGTCATTGAGATGATTATGAACATCTTTGGGTTCTCTTTGAGTAAGTTGATGTGTGTTTGGTTTAGATGTGATTGATACTGACAGAACAGGCAACTGGGTCACCTTTGGCTTCTCGTATCTCACCGGCTCCGTAACATGGAGGTTCCCCCTGGCCTTCCAATTTATCTTCATCTTCATCCTCTTCGGCACCGTCCCATGGCTTCCTGAATCTCCTCGGTAAGTTCACATTCACGCATTGATCATGACTTCAGACTAACAACCCCCAGTTGGCTCCTCGCAAAGGGCCGCGTTGCTGAGGCAGAGCAAATTCTCGCAGACCTGGAAGACCGCCCTGTCGACGACGCCTACATCCAGACACAGTCCAAGGACATCCAGTGGGCTGTTGAGTACGAGCGCGAGAACACCGTCCCCTGGTCCGATCTTCTCCGCGGTAAGACTGGCGAGACTGCCGGCACCGGAACGCTCCGCCGCATCATTCTTGGCATGGGCACGCAAGCCATGCAACAGGTAAGACTGATTCCGCCTCGAAAATTTGGCCATCCAGCTAATACATCCAAGCTCGGCGGTATCAATGTCACGAGCTACTACCTCCCCACCGTCCTCATCCAGTCCGTCGGCCTCGACAACAAGACTGCCCGACTCCTCGCCGCGTGCAACTCCGTCAGCTACTTCCTCTTCAGTTTGATCGGCATCCCGAACGTCGAGAGATGGGGTCGTAGGAAGATGATGATGTGTACGTCCCTCCTCATGCCGCAACAAGACAAATGCTGACCAAAACAGACGCCGCCGCCGGCCAATTCGTCTGCTACCTCGTCATCACAATCTGCATCCGCCACACCGAACTCGGAAGCCTCTCCGCTGAGACGCAAGGCCAATGGGCCAAGGCCTCCATCGCCTTCTTCTTCCTCTACTACGTCTTCTTCGGCATCGGCTGGCAAGGTCCGTCCCCTCCCCCGCCCTCCATCCCCCGTCACCAAACTAACTCCGTCCCAAGGTGTCCCCTGGCTCTACCCCACCGAGATCAACTCCCTCTCGATGCGCACAAAGGGCGCCGCCCTCGGCACCGCGACCAACTGGATCGTCAACTTCATGGTCGTCGAGATCACGCCCCCGGGCATCTCCACCCTCGGCTGGAAGTTCTACATCATCTGGACCGTCTTCAACTTCTCCTTCGTGCCCATCGTCTACCTCTTCTACCCGGAGACCGCCGACCGCACCCTCGAGGACGTCGACCGCTTCTTCGCCGAGAACCACGAGGTCCTCGTCTTCCGCAACCCGGACGCCACCTCGTCGAAGCGCCCGCTCAAGTACGTCGCGCAGGAGGAGGACCAGATCGCCAAGAGGAACAGCGGCGTCGTCCCCGGCGAGGTCGAAGACATGCTGCGCAGGCGAGGCGCCGCGGGCGTGGAGAAGAAGGGCGAGGCGGACGAGGAGATGGCGTTTGGGGAGCATCAGGAGAGGAGGTGAGGTACGGGTGGGTTGATGATTATGAGCCATGTTTTAGCATTATATGATTATGAGCCATGTTTTAGCATTATGATACCTCAAGAATCTGCATTTGATTGTTTACTTCACGTTTGGTCTTTGGTACGAGTGGTTCATGGTTTGAAGCTGTGAGTGAAAAGTGAGCAAGCGAGCGAAACTTCTATGATTGGAACGCTTCCACATGCTTGGCTTACTTCCTGGCGCCACATTTGCTTCATATCAAGACACAGCATGTCAAATCAATGAAAGACTCAGTCAAGTCCATTCCGGACAAGAACCAGGCGAAACATACTTCCCCCAAGCCGCGAGGGCTATCCAGATTAGACGTGGCAGGCCGATCAACCTCTTGAGTTATGCATGCGTTCAACCCTTCAAAAAGCAAGTAACACGCCCAACGAACCCCATCCCTGACTCCAAGGAGAAAAGAAGAGCATCCGATGATCCACACCAGCCAAGCACCACAGCAGAGAAGCCAAAAAGATGCGCCGAGGGGGAATCGAACCCCCGGCTCCCCGACGCTGCTTGATGGCAACGGAGAATTTTACCACTAAACCATCGGCGCTGATGGAACATCCAATGAGATGCTTGTCCCTCAACGACGCCGGGCGGGATATCTTCGATGGGAATGAGGGAATTTCCGTCTTGTCATTTCGGTGTGTTGCGGAAATTTGGTGGGTGGGTAAACCGCTGCACGAAAAAAAACCCTGCAGCTGTGGGCGCATGTGGCTGGCTGGCTGGCTGGCTTGTGTGGGGGCTGAGGAATGTGGGGGAGCGTTGTGGTTGCACCGACCCCTGCGCCATGGACTTGGCGGGCTGGCTTTATTCTGACATCCTTCATTGTTTTGCTTGGAATTGGCTATTCTTTGCTGTTTGTTGTGGAAGGTAGGACGATGGTCTGTCCCATTATTTCTGAATCTGAAAATGGGCTCACAATGGTCTTTGATCACTGACAAAGACACACTGACCTTACAATCAATCGCGGCAGGCACAAGGGCCTCAATGGGTGAGAGAACTTTAGCATTCGTAGCAATCCGAGCCCAAAGTCTACGATAGAAGCGTCCAACCATCTCAAACGTATCGTTGGCAAATACCAAAAACACCTCGCTCCGTTCCCCTCCAGATCCAACCTAGACCCAAGCCAAATCCCATCTACCAAGATAAGAAAACCTGAACCCAAGTCGCATGTTCAAAAGCATCAATCATCCTCATGCCCTTCAACCAACCGTGTCAGCAAGCACCTGCAGGACAGTGCGCAGAGCGTCGCGGTCGCGCTGGGACTGGGCCTCCATGTCGTTCATGCGGGCCTGCTGCTGGACGGCCACCTCGGTGAGGTGCATCACCTGGCCGCTGATGGTGTTGAGCTGCGTCGTCATGGCGGCCTGGCTGCGGACGAGCTGCGCCACGGTCTGCTGCTGCTCGGCGAGGTCGCGCTGGAGCTGCGCGGTGGGGGCGGGGGAGCCGTTGGCGGAGGCGGAGTCGCTGTCGTCGTCGCTGTCCGAGTCGGCACCGCCGGCGGCCTTGGCCTTCTGGCGCTTGAGCCAGCGGGAGTCGTGGAACCGCTTGACGTACTCGTCGACATCGGTGCCGCACATTACCTTGTTAGCAGCGGCGCTGTTCCATGTCAGTGACTTTTTCTTGTGAAAATTAGATGGAGGGAAGGAGGCGGGTGAGGACGAACCGGTTGGCCATGAGCTGCTCGCACGACTTGCGGAGGATGTCGACGCGGGCGTCGCGCGTGACGGCGGCCTTGAAGTCGTCGGACTTGTAGACGCGCAGGCAGTTGTCGCGGAGGGAGCGGTACTCGGCGAACTTCTCCCGGCGGGCGGCGGCCTGCTCCGGGGTCTGCGAGGCCTGGTAGGCCCGGGTGCGGACGGTGTTTGGGTTGGTGGAGTAGGAGCCTCCCTTCTTGCGGGCGTCGCCGGGCATCGTGGTGGTTGTAGGGTGGATGCGCTTTGGATTATTCGTGTGATTTTTGGTTGCTTCGTTTGTGAAGGGTTCGTGGGTGTTTGTGAGGAATACCCAGTGGTGATTGTTGTAATAGAGGGAAGGTGGGTGGGGTGTGAGGGTGGGTGTGTACTTTTTTGAATACCTCGGTTGAAGTCTGTAGAGATGGAGGGCAGGCGCACTTGATCACTCAGTTGAGGAAGGAGCGGCTGTGATTCAGCACTTGCCGGTTGTGCCTGTTGTGAGGTGAGGTGAAGCACAGCAGCCGCAGGCACCTCTTTGTGACCACACCAGATGGGACCTAACTAGACCTGCTTTGATGGTGATTTCTGGCGAAGAACGCAAATTCTCCAACTCATATGGCTACGATGATCATTGTTTCGTGAGTTCTATATACCTTATCTCATATCATTGGTCCCATTGGGAAGGGCATGTGGGATTTGATCCCACTGAGGGCGAAATGGGATGCCGTGAGATCATGGGCATTTTTCAGTGGATATAGCTGAACAGCACCTACTTATATTCCCTTGAATCCTCGTCTCTGTCATGCTATACTTGGTCGCCAATATCGTTCACGTTATGTGACATCGAGACGGCTAGGCTTGCCTCCCTGCACTCCATCCCTTACCTCTGTTGCCCTTTCGGCGATGAGGCATTAGTCAATAGGAGTGAACAGAGTGCCGTCACCTGTCTCCCAATGAGTCAAGTCTGCGCTAGAGCCACTCGTCAACCTTGGACTCTCCCCTTTCCATGGCCGTTCCCATTGACCCATGCTGAAGAATACCTGTTAGCAAAGTCTGTCGCTTACCAGGCCGCGAACTCTGCAAAGAATGAAGATGATGCTCGTGGCACTATTCCTGACGTTTGTCTAGCCCGGCAGGCTTCATGACTTTGAGTATCAGTATGCCACCCGCAATACGCTTACAGCTGATCATCACAATCCAAGACTAGCTCACCCAAGACAGGCTCCATGGCAGAACCAATCACTAACTCCGAGGTACAGTCTCTGTCTACAGAGCAGTATGATCTTTGCAGGGGATAGGATCATGAAAGATCCGGCGCAACAGCAGAGGCGTATGTTTAGGTCGAGCCTCAAAGACGACTTGGTTTCGACCAACCTGGGGCTTTTGGCAAAGTTGGTGTATCGCGTCACCTCGTACTTGGGATCTCAATGCTGCAGCGTCTTGGTACGGTTTCGTCCATGATGCCCGGGAGCACTCACCGTTGTTCTTCTCAGCGAACCAATTCGTCTGCAGGGCATTGGAGCCCTCTGTCTCGAGCTGATCTACAGGCGACCATTGGACTAAGCTGATGTCTCAATGTCAGCTTCATCTACGTCGACCGCAGGCATCATTCGCAAGTTGCACGGATCTTTCAAAGCACTTGCCATGGGATCGCACTGACCTAGGCCTGGATAATACCTGCAAGCAGAACACTCTTGGCAGCAATGAACTATGCCATAAAGTAACTATCAGTATCTCTTTTGCGTTATATAATAAAGGGCCATCCGGAAAAGCCAGGCTGGGCAGCTTGCCCGGCATGAGTTCGACGCCAGCACCTACGTAAGGCTGGGTTCGTCGTTCCCTCCCTCATTTCCATCAACTAAAACCTAGAGACATTTGAATTTGAACGAAATCGATGAAAAGGAAGTTCAGTGGCGAGAGCGGTGCGGCGTGGAGCCAGTCTGCTATCTAGCTGGCTAACATCTGCATTGCTTGTCCGTCTGGTGGCGTTAACAACGTTGCGACAGCAACATAAGTCTAAATGAGTTTCGCATTCAGGCTTAAGTCAAAACGATGTGACAAACAGTACTACATTAGGTTTTTGTGAAGATTGTGGCGTTGAGTACTTTCGTAGGTGAAAAGACCATTTCGCAATGTCTTGAATTGAACAATATCAAAAACGCACTTGAAAAATCACCCACAACCACAAGATCACTTGATTAGTGTGAAAACTTCCAAATTTAATTCCAAAGCAGTTAGAACTATAATACTATAGTTATTTATGGCATATCTACAGGTTGTGGTTGTCGATTCACGTCGACGGTCCCGGGCGACATCGATCTGAGTGGCTCCACACCGCGTCCAGAATCAACAACCACGACTCAGACACACATCGCACATCACACATGAACGATTGCAACAACATTGTAGTTACTTTTCGACGAATCGTCAGTTAATATGTTCAAAATACCCTAATCTTCTCATCACTCCCCCAAAACCCATTTCAAACCCTTGACCATTCCCTCCTCCGCCCTCCTCGCCCCCTCCAGCCCAGGCGCCTTCACCCAAAACGTATGCGGCCACCCCTCCACCACCTCAACCTCAACCTCGACCCCCGCCTCCCTCATCAGCATCGCATAACAAACCCCATCCCCATACAGCGTATCATTACTACAAACCTGCACCCAAACCCTTGGCATCCCCATCCCGCGCACCTCCTCCACCCCAACCTCCAACGGCAACCTCTTCAGCCCGTCCCGCGGCACAGCCCTCTTGAACACCGGCAACAACGTCGTCTCGAACGCGGGCGTGGCCGTGGTATACGCACCCCTCAACCCCTCCGGCACAAACTCGTCCGACGTGCCCCCGTCCGAGGTGACAGGGCACCGCAGCACCACGCCGTGCAGACTCCCCCGCGGCATAAACTGCGAGACCGCCGCGGCAAGCTGCCCGCCGCTGCTGCTCCCGACCACAACGACCCTCGCCTCGGGGACCAGGCCTCTAACGTACATGAACGCATCCACCGCGTCGCGCACGCAGGTCGCGGCAGGGACGCCGGGCATGAGGCGGTACCCGACAGAATACACCTCCGCCGCGGGCAGACCGTTGACAATCCAGCGGCATGAAAGCTCCTCGCTGTCCGCCTCGCCGACGCAGAGCCCGCCGCCGTGGAAATAGACCACCGCCACGTCCGAGGTCTCATTCCGCGGGTCCGAGAAGCGGAGGATGGGGATCGGGAAGGCGTCTAGCGTGGATTGGACCGTGAGGTGGTGGGTCTTGGAGATGCGGGCGAGGTGGTGAAGCGGTCCCGAGGGGGCGAGCATGTCTGCGGTGGTGCGGCGGCGTTCTTCTGCATAGATGGGCTGGCGGTCGAGAGGGGAGGCGTAGGTTTGCTTGGGCGCTCTGAGGTTGGCTGCTTCTTCGTGCTGGAGCCATTCCGGGTCGAGGGGAGGCGGCTGTTTGAGAATCAGATGAGAGAGGGAGTCCATGTTGGAGATGAGGTAGCAATTAGTTTCAATAATGCTGGATAAGGTCAATCACAGAGGAAGGTTGAGCAGGGACACGATGAGGGACCATGCACTTTATGAGCTGGATGAGGCCGGCGGAGTGGGGTCGGTGTCCGGGTTGTTGATGGCGCGGTGTCCCGCTTAGCCGGGAGTAGTGCCGGAAGCGGATGAGACGTCCAGCCTTATCTGGTGCATTACGGCGAGGTTTTGCACTTCATGAAACGGCCTGGCCATCTCCGGAGCCGTCTCCGAGATTGCCGCCGTGATTTGGGACCGAGTAATCCAACCCGGCGTGGTAGCGAAGCTCAACGTCAGTTACCGCCGAGCAAGCCTGGAAACTCCGAAGGCAAAATTCAGCCATGACAACCGAGCCGTTCGCTGGAAAAATATGCACTGCATGGCAAGAAAGACATCAAGCAGCGCAGAATACAACATGGTACACAAGGTCGATATTAGTGTCCTTTGGGTTGATTCCGTCCCCTTGGACCGATCGCCTATCTACAATGCTAGAGTACACAAAGGGAATCGGTGGGCGAATGCGTCTATAGCACAGAGAGATCGCCGAACTTCTCCTGCAGAGGGTATTAGCTCCGTCACTCGCGAAAACACGGATTGACCGTACCTTGTATCCCGGCACGGACCAGCGGCCCTTGGAAACGAGCTGGGAGGTCTTCTCGTCGATCGAGGGCTCGGCGGCGGAGACTTCGTCCTGTAATCCTCATCAGCATCCACCTCTCGTCCCGCATCTCCCGCGGGTGCACATACGACAGTGAGGTCCTCGAAGGGACGGGCGGTCTCGATGTTGGCGAGGGTCTTCTCGAGGTCCTTGAGCTCGAGGTCGACCTTGTCCTTGGTGGCCTCGGCGTTCTTCACGGCCTCAACCTCGAAGGCCTCGATGGCCTTGACCTGGCGGGCGACGTCGTAGCTGGCGGGCTTGAAGGCGGCGAAGCGCTTCTCGATCTCGTCGATGACGGCCTGGTTCTTGAGGACGGAGCGGTAGTGGGCGAAGTCGACGGTCGTGGGGAGCTCGGAGAGGGTCTGGACCTTGCGGCGGGCGTCCTCGTTGCGCTTCTTGAAGGCCTGGAGGGAGGCGACGGTCTGGCCGCGGAGGCCGAGGGAGGTCGTGACCTTGGCCCAGTCGAGCTTCAGAGCTGCGCTTCGCTGAAGGGAGAAATTAGCTCAGGGTTTCCCTTGGGCGGCTCGGAGATGCGGGTGCGGTGCGCGGGGTTTCAATTGGAGGGCGAGGGCAGGAATTGCATCAATCGGCGACTTGAGATCGGTCGGGTTCGATGGGGGATACGTACTGCGGCCATTTTGGAGGATGTGTTGAGGGTTCGGGGGAGTGGAGAGGGAGTTGCGTCGTCGTGAGAATGCTTGATTGACTTTGCCGAACGGAGAGGCAGAGAAAGAGCCGGGATGAACTGGGTCACACTTTAAGTCACGTGATGCGCGCGCGGCTGCGAAAGCTGGTTGGGCGGGAGCGAACGGGTCGTGGTGGGGCAAAGCTTCCGCTGCGAATTCGGTTTGCAGGATGCGATCGAGGGGTAAGGCAAGGAAGGCAGAGCTGGAGGTCGCAATCATAAAATTCTCCATTATTCGCAGCGACCTCAATTGAACAGGGATGTGCACCACGGACAGCTTCACGTATCACGTCACAGGAATTGACATAATTTAGGCAACGGACAGTTCGTCAATTATCATGACCTCTCATTGCGCACGAGACTTTTCGGAGTCAACTCCCTGGGAATTGTACATGCCAACCCATATCCGTCCTTTTTGTGTGTTTGTCGCGTCGAGAATTCGAGAAAGAGATGTTGTTTTCACCCGCAGTGGATGTCGCTAGATGCTCAATGCCATAATCGAGTTGACAATGTCGTTGTCGTTCTCCTTCAGGGCCTTGATGGCCTTCTTCCGGCTGACGTTGGCCTGGGTCATGACGAGCTCGATGTCCTTGTCCTCAATGCCCTCGGCGTCAACCTCCTCGCCGTCATCCTCCTCCTCCTCCTCCTTCTTGGCATCAGCCTCGGCGGCCTTGCTGGGCTCAGCGTGGCTGTGGCCGGCGTGGTCGTGCTCACCACCAGCAGCAGCGAGCTGCTGGGCGGCAGCCTGCTGGGCGGTGGCGTTGAGGTCCTCGATCTTGGCCTCACCGAAGACGATGTAGGTGTTGCTGTTGGGGGACTTGTAGACCTCGGGGTTGTTGATGACGAAGAGGATCTGTGTCGGACGTGGGTCAGCCTTGTCTACCCCTCCAACGATTGCACCACCCCTCATCCCCTCTCTCGACAATGTCTCAACTCACGTTCTTCGGGCGGCGCAGGGTGACGCGGGTGATGCCCTGCACTCTCGTCAGGTGCAGCTTCTCGAGGGCCTTGCGGGCCTTCTTCTCGTTGCGGGAGTGGATGACGGCGGTGGAGCCGGAGGGAAGGCCCTCAGCATCCTCGCCCTCAACCTCGGAGTCGGAGCTCTCGTCCTCGTGCTCCTCGACGGAGACCTTCTTGGTCTCGTCATCGGGAAGCTCTTCAACGCGGGGGTTGGCCATTTTGTCGACTGCAAACGATGGTGTTCTGGTCAGCTACGGGGAGTTCTTGCAATTTTTCTGAGTTGGGTAGCGTGGGTGGTGGTGGTGGTGGTGGGAGCTAGGATCGCGCAAACGGGGAAGCTTGATTTGGCGAGCGAGCTGCTACGTTGTGTGGGAAAAAGGGAAATTGGGCCGTTTCTCTTCGCACAAAATTGTGCGCAACGTTCGCGGGTCGCTCCAACATGATTTTGACGCAAAATTCGAGACGCAGACGGGCAGCACTCACCAAAGTTTAGAACGAGGGATCCTCAACTCGACGTGGGGTGAATTGTTCGGTGGCTTTGTGGTTTGCAGGAAAGATCGTAGAGAAATTCTAGGGTTAGCCGAACACCCTCTGGATCGCAGTGACTAAAGCGGGGTTACGTAAGCAGACCACTCCCCTCAATGGCGTCCAGATTCCCCAGATGCAGATGCGTGGAACTACGATGCAAGGCCGCAGCACATGAATGACATTCTGGTACCTCTGGGCATTCATTCTTACAAGGCTGAAAGCCGCAAGAAATGCAGACAAATGGATCTGGACGTGTGCACGCGTGTTTCTGGGGGTTGATGTCTTGGCCGCGGAAGAGGGACGTCAAAATAGTGTCAAGATGATGATTTACAGTCGTCTCCGAACGAATAAAACAACTTTTTACTCCGTGTCCCCGTCACATGCCAACCAGTCTATTTGTATGATCTTGATTGTGCCATGAATTCATTTTTGTGTCTCTGAATTTCCGTATTTGACGCCGGTCATCACGATTGATGATGATGAATGTGACATACAGCCCTTCCAGTTACGGAGCAAAAGAGAAGTGCAGCAACCCAATGCTGCAATGGAGATGCAGACCAAACCGGATTTCCCATGCTGTCACGCTCTAAACCAGCCCCGTAATCTTCAAAGTCAACCCTCCCTTTTCGACAGAATTCCCCAATCGCAAGGTGTGTGTCGTGTGTGAATTATCCATCTTACGCGGCGGCCTTGACCTTGACGAGCTCCTTGCGCTGCTCGAAGCGGCGCTGCTTCTTGAGGCGCAGGACCTTGAAGCGGTCGAAGTCGGACAGGTTCTTTCTTCGCTCAATCTGGGTGCTGCGCTTGAACCAGTTGGTCTCCTTCCACTTCTGGTCGATCTCGGACTTCTCCCAGAACTTCTTGACGGTGCCGGTGCGGGCGCCGCGGGGCAGGTTCTCAACCTTGAGGGAAGACAGGAGGGCGTTGGAGAGGGAGATGGGTTGGCGGGGGACGGCGAGCTTAGGGTCTGAGGAGGGACCGTCGACCAGAGCCTGTGCGCACAGAGTCAATTTCCATTCATTCCTGTTTCCCGGCGTATTCCACCACCACATCCCAAGACTGCAAACTCGAGGCCTGATCGTTCGTCGCCGGGGGGAGGGATTCAACGTACGCGCTTGTGGTCGATGATCTCGACGATGGTCGCGAGGCGGCCGGCGTAGGGGCCGTTGCCCTGGAGAAGGACGACGCGGCCGACCTCGACCAGTCGCCACTTGGAACCCTCGATGGTAGCGTCACCCATTTTGCTGGTCGGTCTAGATGTCGGGAAGATGCGGTGTCAGAAGAGGTTTCCTTTTCCTTTCGGGGAGTGCGATCGAGAAGTTGGGATGTTGTTGGAGGTTGTCTTTTGTCTGGGGGGAAAAGGAGGGGCGCGCGTCGACTTACCAGACGTCAAAGATGTGCTGCTATGGTTAGTGGTGTAATCCTGATGAGGTTCCGCTCGCGATCGCAATTTTTCTGTTTTGGCGTGTGCGAAGCAAATTTGAGCCCTAACCTATCTATGGTGGTTTTTTGCCGGGTGGCCCGAGCCCGGCGGTGGCTTGGTTTTGCCGAGCCGACAATCAGCCGGCCCAATGTGGCCTAGGCGGGCGGTCAGCAAGGTCGGTCATTTCCTGCCGTGCTCCACCGACGACAGTGATTTTTATTGCTTCGACGCGCGCGCAGAGCAGCTTTTCCCTCTCTCCCATCCATCACTGCAACAGCTTCGAGCTGGGAAAGCGCACAGCTCGGAGAGTTTGCAAGACAAAAGCCACGCAGCAAGCGTGTCATCAAAGGTATGTTTATATTTCTCTCCTTGCAAAACCACACTTCCCTGGAATGATGAGAAAAATTTGCGATTGATTTCACTTGGTGGCCCTTTTTCGCCGGAGCGGCTATACCGTTTGAATACATGATATTCAATTCTTACATATTCTGACCTCCTACCCATTATTCACTCTTGATTGTTTGGCTTTCTTGAGACGCACGTTGCTAATTCAGCATCAGGTATCAGTAGTATACCTCAATGGAAACAAAATACATCATATTTCTGAACAGCGCTCATGGCGCCTCACTCCTGTGCATTGTGTGACATATACTCCCAGTAAAAAGCGTATTTATGTTTCATTCAATTCAGTTATGAAGTCGTAATGCTCATGTTCCTAATACCCTGCCAACGCCTTGAGAATTCATTCCTTGCAACTATTTATGCCTTGCCCTTGCGCCTCAGCTCCTCTTCCTCCTCGGCCTGGATCTGAGCGTCGATCTTGGCACCTCGGGATGGCTCGTTGCCATGGTCCTTGGCCTGGTTGTGGTCAGTGGTGATCGACGACATTAGGGGCCAGTAAACATACGGGAAGCGTGGGGTCGATTTTGCCCAAACGAACCTCTCGGGTATCATCGTTGTCGTCCTCCTTATCCTTCTTCTAAAACATTGTTAGTGGCCGCCGGATAATCTGCATGCACTTCACGTACCTCTTCTGCCGCAAGTCTGTTGGCAATGGATCTCTCGTCCTCTGCAATGGTGTTAGCATCGTCTGAAATTTTGACCGGAGTAAGAACATACTGGAGTCGGTGGCCTGGTGAGAATTCTCCTTGCCCTCCTCAAAGCGCTCAGCGTTATCAAGCTCCTCGTTCTTGTGGTTTCTCTGGTCGCCAGCCTCGTAGACGCCACTGGTGCCAACCTTGGAGTCGCCGGCCATTTTGATGGTTTGGTGAGGTGTGCGGTGGAGGTGCGGGTGTTTTTTCTTGATGGATAGTCTGCGAGTAATAGAATGCGGAAGGTGAACAGAGTGCAGATTGGGTTTGTGAGAAATGAATCTTTGGTTGTTGCAGGCTTGCTCTTTCTATATAGGGACACTTTGGTGAGGCGTTCTGGCCTGACTAGACACCCCACCAGTTACTTCATCTGCATCTACGTCATGACGTCTTCAGCGCCGATTCTCAGCTCAGACAGGCGCAAAGCTCCCTCCTACGTCATGCAGCTGTCATTTGCTCCGCTGAACGCCTTGACAAAATCCGTTCCTGCCCAAACCATATGGGAAAATCGGCGATGCAACCGGAAGGGACGAAAGAGTTGGGATTGCGGTCGCGGCTCCGGGACTTTAGCGCTACCGTTGCTTTGTTGAGCGTACCTGGACGGTCTCTATCAGATTTGCCTAGTTCGTCGCGTGCCTCAAATGACTACCCCTGCAAATAAAATCTTCAGATCTTAGATACGAAAGCTTGTGAAGGGGCGGTTCCTCCCGATTACTTGCATTTGATCCCAACCTCGAGGTTGCGATTCGAGATGCTCTTTGCTGCCCCTAAATTATCCTGCACAAGATGGTAATGGTCACATACTGCTTTAGTGAAAACTGTGCGTGAGATAGGTAAGTACTCGGTGCGCCTGACAGGCCTGCCGTCGCAATTCCAGCATTGATGACGAGATCCAGCATGAGGGGAATTTGAGGCTCTGATTTTGACATCGTCCCCAGCCAGGTCCTGGGCCCCGGTGCATGAGCCACCAGCGGGTGCAGCTCCCAGCGCCGTTGCCAGGGGTAAGCGCGACAGAAACCCCGCCGTGCGTCAATTCGGCGTTGGCATCCAGACCTGAGCGGACGACGGGGATGACGTAACTTCGTGGGAGCTCTGGGAGCTCCACTGCCGACTTCATCGCATCAAGCTGCACGCCGCACCGCGCAAACAGCAACAGCTGATTCCGAAAAAACAACACCATCACCCCCAAACTCTCCATCAGCCCCGCCAAAATGTTCCGTTTCGTGAGTAGAAACCACCCCCGATTGATTGGCTCCGTGGCAAGCAGCTAATACCCCGCGCAGCACAAGACCCTCGACATCGTCACCCTCTTCCACAAGGCGAGCTCCCCGGCCTCCGTGAGGGCCGCCAACATCCTCAAGCAGGTCTCCGCCAACGCCGCCGCAGGCGCGACCGAGGACCAGGCCAGCGACCACAGCGTCCAGACGAACCCCAAGAAGTCCCGCGCCGAGTTCGAGCTCAACATCACCGAGGAGAACCCCACCGCCGACCAGGTCAAGACCATCCTGGAGTACGTCGGAAAGAGCAAGCTGTCGTCCATCATCCAGGGCGCCTCGACCGAGCAAGAGGCCCTGAAGAAGTTTCAACAAAATGCCGAGACCTTCCAGAGACCTGTGGTATGTGATCCCCTTTGACCTGGGTGCCTGTCGTGGATGTCCAAGAGGGGCGCCTTGCCTGTTGCTGAACATACGTAGCTGATTGAGACTCGCAGATTGTGGACTGGAACAACGGCAAGGCTGTCGCTGGCGACAATGAATCTGAGATTCTCAAGATGCTCAATGCCTTGAACAGCAGCAAGAGCTGAGAGACAAGTGCTCTTTAGAAGCTAGGCAGCGCCTTTGTCGCCATTGTATAATGAAATATCACAACCCAATGCAACTCTAGTAGTAGTTGAATGATGAACACAGCTCTTCGGCAAAAATTCTGTCACAATTTACCTGTCTCAATTTTATTTTCAGGCGCAACGTCGATCTCAACGTTCGAATGCATTCATTCATCCTAGTGTAGTTCAGATGGAGGGTGGGCACTTGGAGTGATTGAATCTGATCTGCCACTCTTGATGTTGACCCTGTTATATCGAAATTACTGGCTTGGAAATGGGATGGACAGAATCAGGTGCAAATAACTTGGTACACTTTAGCAAAGGCGTCAGCGAGAAGGGATGCTGACCTACATGCTGTCTTTGACTTGCTGCAACTTCCTTGCCAATTCGCAAGCATTGCTTGGTCCACTTGTGAGGCAGGTGGTGAGGAAGGAGAGACGCATCATCATCACCTGCTTGATGCTGTCATTGCCGTTGTTGCTGTTGTCCCTGTTCTTGCCACTGTTGTACTTATCGCCCTTGTCGTCCTCGCTGCCCTTCACGTTGTCCTGCGTATCCTCAATGATCCGAATCTTTAGGCAGAAATTTGTTCACACTCGCTTGTATTGTATTGCAACTCCGGACTGGAAAGCTCTTTCCGCTAGCTCCTTCCTGTGCTTGCTCCTGCCGCCTCCCCGTCACCCTGCCTCCTACCCCTACCTCCTACCTAGTGCCTCCTGCTGCTCACCTCCTGCCTCGCGACGCGCTCGCTGGCTCCCACAGCACCACAATACCAGGCAATTTCTTCCCCTCGTCATAACAACCCTCTCTCCATCCCACACACACACTCCTCTTCCCCCCTCCTCCATCTCACGACTCTGGCGCCATCGCAACCTTCCCTCGCGATCGCCATCATCCCATCTGCCCCCATTGATATCGTCTCTTCTTTCCATTCCATCCGCAAATCCACCTCCTTTGCAGGGTTCACCTTGAATAGGTCTCTGCCAACCGCACCTTCACTTTGAGGCTGCGTCTCTGCATCATGGCTCATCCGCCTTTCCACAGAAACGGTGGCCATCACCCGAACCGACGATACCAGTCGGCGGGCGGCTACGATCGCTATGGGCGTGGTTCACTCAATCGTCAACGCGACCTCCAAAACCCTGTCGGCGGAAGTCAGGTCACTTTACCCTATCACCCTGGTCCCCCGCCCCAGCCCCAGGGGCGACTCTTTTACCCGGTTGGCGACTTTTGGGGCTTCGAGTATCCTTATGGCGTCCGATCCTCTTATCCCATGGTCACTAGCCACGATGGCTTGCCTCCGAAGCTGTACACGGAGAATCACCTTCCCGAGTCTTTCTACACTGCCAACAAGCCCGGCAGGGCGATCTTCAGCACCAACGATGGCAATATCCAACCTCGCTACATAGCACCTTCCGACTTCTACTCCGATCGAAAACTACAACTGTGGAGTGCTGAGGAGATTCAGAAGAATGCCAATTCAATTCGCAAGAAGTTCTGGGAGCACATGAAGGACATGGCTGAGCCAGTATACTGGGAAGACATGTGCGACTACTTTGATTGCTTCGACATTTACCATCATGGCGCCCTCAACATCTTCAATCTCCTTTATCATCTGTGGCATGAGAATCAAGACTTGAAGAAGGAGGCTTACCGCGTGATCGCCCTGGAAATCGGTATTTGGTGCGATCGCTGGCTCGACAGACGTAACAACAAGCAGAGGCTCCTGGACTTCCAAAACTGGGGCAACATCAACAGCCTCTTCAGTGCAGACGACCAAGTCGGAAATCTTGACGCCTCACAGACCGAGATCATGAAGAACGCCTTGCACCATCGACATGATCAGCTTCGCCACAACTTTGTACCCTCTCCCACAAATTACCCTTGCAATCAGTTGGGTGTCCATGGAGCCAGGATTCAAGACTGGTTATGTAAGTATTTCAACTCATTTCACTCCCTATTCTTTTCATCAGAACCCCCCCGCCCAATTCCACCTTGTTTGTTGTTTTACGATGAACTAACATGATTGTAGACGACCAGCCCATCGCCGACAGCCACAACGGCCTTCACACCCCTTTGACTAGGTCATACCCTACACCCGTCGGCCAGAACAGCCTTGACAGTATCCCAGAGCACCCGAAACCTCCCCAAGGATACCGAGCGCCCGTAGTTGCCATCGGAACAAGCTCGAACAATGTGGTCTCCCAGCCCCCACCTCAGCCCCCATCTCAGCCCCCATCTCAGCCCCTATCTCGGCCCCAGGCTGCTCCGGCATCTACGCAGGAGGAAGAGCCCAAGGGCTGGGAAAGAGTTACAGGTAGGGATGAGATACATGGCCCAGTCCACCGTCGATCTCCCACCAAACGAGACCCTCGCAAGGACAGCACTAGGATTGCGTCTCCTGACCAACTCTCCGAAAGCAAGTCGATGGAGCCTTCACCGGAAGCAGAGACACAGTCCAAGCCGCCATCTGAGGAGGTGCTCCCGGACGAAGCTTCGGGCGGCGTTGAAAGTACTCAGAGCACAAGGTCGCGTGGCAAAACCATCACGGTCAACCTGCCGACCACGCCGAAGAAAAAGGACCCTCAGGGTTCTGGGCCATCCACTCCCCAGGCAAAGGCTAGGTCTCCCGAGCAGTCAGCGAAGAAAACTTCTTCTCCCGCAAGCAACTCTTCCGAAGCCAAGACAACACCGCCTTCAAGCACGCCGAAGCAACTTGAGAAAACATCTCCCTCCCCAACCACAACGAAGAGCTCCTCGAAAACTTCTACTCCGTACAGTCAAGTTTACAACGACGACAACGCCAACAACGTCGAGTTAGTTGAGTACCCCGAGCGCTCTCACTCTACTGCGATGAAGACGCAGGAGGACATGCAGAAGGAGATCGCTGGTCGTAAGTTGGATTCCATCTTCGACACAATGGCTTCAAGTAACCAGAAAGCCTCCTCAACAGCTGGGCAGCCTCTGAATGCTGTCGAGGACACTGACCCAAAGCCCAAGCCTAAGAGCAAGAGCAAGAAGAAGAAGAACAAGAAGAAGAAAGCTGCTGTTGTGCCTACTACGCCGCCTCCCACCACCTTCACGATCAATGAGGATGAGGATGTCATCACTCTTACGCAGAACTACAGAAAGGAGGACACACCTAGTACTCTAACAGAGTACCTTGCCCGGGGCCTGCGATCTATCGAAAACTACGAGCCTGCTGAGGTCACCCCCGTTCCCACTGTCGAAGATCATCATCCGAAGCAAGATGCTCCGCCTACTGACCTGCCTGCCACCACCTCGCCTCCCGCCACCTTCACGATCGATGAAGATGAGGATGTCATCACTCTCACGCAGAACTACAAAAAAGAGGATGCACCTAAGACTCTAACAGAGTACCTTGGTCGGGGCATGCGATCTATCGACGACTGCGAGCCTGCCGTGCAAGCTGGACACGTCCCCACTGTCGAAGATCATCATCCGAAGCAAGATACTCCGCCTACTGACCGGCCTGCTACCCCGCCTGCCACCACCCTCATGATTAATGAAGACGAGGATATCATCACTCTCACGCAGAACTACAAGAAGGAGGACGCACCTAGGACTCTGACGGAGTACCTTGCCCGGGGCCTGCGATCTATCGAAAACTATGAGCCTGCTGAGGTCAAACGCGTTGCCACCATCGACCATCATCCGAAGCAAGATACAACCCAGAGCTCGATGGAACGCCTTGCGGAAGATTTGGCTTCGATCAAAATCACGCAGCCTGCTCAAAATAACGAGCCAGATGCTCCAGACACACAGACAGAGCTAACCGGGAACTCTGCCATGCCCGTCCGCAAAGGCTTTCGCGCTGGCGCTGGCGGCTCCCTTCGCTTGTCGAAGACTCGGAACAAAAACGTCAAGAACTTGAGCTTTGTTGGCCAGATGGAAGCCGCCCATGGCTCGAACCAGCCTCTCGACCCGGCGCCACTGACTAACGCAAGCCGTAGCACCGCCAATGATGGCAACTCGAGCAATGCGTCTCAAGGCAATGTCTTGACACCTGCGACGCCTCTATCCGCACGGGAGACCATGCTCAAAGAAAAGACTCCCCTTGGGGCATCGCTCAAGGAATCCCCATACAAGGAGACCCTGTCCAAGGAGACCTCTCCCAAGGAGAATTCGTCCAAGGGGACTTCGCCCAAGGAGACTTCGGCTTAGGAGGCCGCGTCCAAGGAGCGCACGACCAAGGAACATGGAGCACGCGTCGATTCTACCCCGAAATCTGGTCTCAATCCTCGTGCCAATGAGTTTGTGTCTCCTCGTGGCACTGCGGTGCGCAATTCGTCAGCAGCCCCGCTTAAGAAAGCACCGATCCCTCTGGTCCCTCCTTTCAAGGTGTCTGGTCGGCATAAGCGCAGCCCGAACCCCTCGTCAGGTGCCACATCACGCACGGTTACACCTGGTGGCACACCCCCAAAGGCCTCAGGGAACGCTACCGAGGCTCTCAAGGACGTTTCAAAACATGTTGGGGATGTTGCTAAGAGCAGCGCGGACGAGCAGAAGAATGATGTCGCTCCCGTCACCAGCAGTTCAACTGCTAATAAGAACAGCGAAGACCATGGTGGTGAGCAGAAGAAGCGGACCTTCGGTAATAAGGTGACCCGGGCTAAGAGCCATCCGCAGCAGACTGACAACAAGCCAGGGTCCGGCAAGAACTTCTCCTCGTCTAAAAAGCCAAAGGTTCAAGGCGAGAACTCTTCTCAGGCTCCATCTGGGCCTACCTCGGCGCTGCCCCCCACCGCGACCTGGGCCAGTAAGCATCGGTCTGGAATCTCGGGCTCTAAGGAGGATGGCGAACAGAAGTGAAGGAACAGAATGCTTTGGAGAAAATATGCAACGTTGTCGCCTTCATTTGCCGAAAAGATTCGGTGTATGTCTAGAGTAGCAGGGTAGATTTGCTGTCATTTGGACGGGCAATCAAGATTAATGTCATGAAATGCAGTGGTTGTGATAGGCCTGTTTCGGTGACTAGTCTTCCAAGTAATGAGCAGTGCGCCAAGAGTGATGAAGCGTACCGGATCTCTCTTCTGTAACTTAAAAGCTGCAGAGGGAAGTGCTTGCCCTGCGGTCAAATTCCCCATCAATTAAGGTACCTTATGAATACTAGCCAAACAACCATCCATCTCAAATTGCCAGAAGCTGAGCCTCGGCGGACTTGTGAATGGGTTCGGAGCTCTGAGGCAGCATAGCTGCATGAAGAGATGGTCTTGTACCAAAGCCCGCGGAACACTTCCCGCCGCGTTTTCTACTGACCCTCTGCAAGGTACTCACAACCACGACGAAGTGTTTCCGGATTGTCCGCCGCGGGGAGGACACGCGACGAAGGACATTGCGACCTCACGAGTCTGGGGAACGCTCGCCAACGAATCCACCGAAATTGCCGGCGCATTCAAAGTGCAGTCTGGATCTGGGCAGCACACCAATCGCATCGCAAAAGATCCCTTTCGACGTCGAGATAGATCGTATTCTCCCAACACGGTGATGGTACATAAACTTCTTTTTTTCCTCATTGACCTTCTTTCCCTTACCAAGCGAGTCCCCCCGTCTTGGTTACCTTATGCGCTGCCCTTGACCAGGCCGGAAACCGTCTCCTCGATCTGCTTGTCCGACAAACCTGCGCCCTGTTAGCTCCCGGCTCTCCGAACTGGATATCCAGAAAGTCGCTACTCACCCTCCAAGGATTGGCTCTTCTCAACACCGAACTCTGTGTCGCGCAGCAACATCCGTCAGCAATTCCGTCTTCCTTCGGCGATCTGGTGGAGAGGGCAGTCCTAACCGTATCTCGCGTAAATCTTGGGTAGCGTTCCGGCGGCCTCGCGGATGAGGATCGGGGTCTGGGGGTTGTGCTTCTTCATCGTGGGGTACGTCCTCGCCAGGAAAGAGCTGTCGCGCGGTGTCTCGTTAGCAATTGATGCCGCAATGGCAGGCCAGGCCGGGCCGGGCGTGCCCGCCTCGACGGGCGACGGGCAGGAGGAGGAAACTTACCGGGTCGCGGCGCTGTGCTCGCCGGTCTGGCAGAAGAGGAAGCGCACCTCCTTGAGGGCCTTGCCGAAGGCGTACTTGGTCGACATCGTGGTAGGCGTTTGGCGCTGACGGTGGTGAGGTTCGTCGGTGGAGGGTGCGGCCGTCGGGTGGTAAGGACAATTGGGGTCGATTTGATTGGGGAGCTCGAGAATTGAAGTTGACGAGATGCCGCCGTTAAAGTGGATACCGTGCACAAATATTCCGGGTCCCGACTTTTGTGCCGTTAGCTGTCTTATGCAGATGCATAATTCAACCCCCCGCCGATGTAGGCGCCCCCCACCAAATGAGCGCTCGCCAATTTGCTCGTCGCACTCGAAGCCTGGGTGGTCAGTGCTCCCCTTCCCCAATGTCAACTTTTTTTTTCTGGACGTTGTCCCCGCTTAAGTCCGGTTGACGGGCTTCCCTTTGCGCCCGGGCGCGCGTGGGCTCTGTCCAACAGGTACGGATAGGTACCGTCCCAGCTGGCCCTGCGCGAACGCACTGCTATTAGCTGCCAAAAAAAGCTGCAGTGTCTGTCTGTCCCGCTCTGCGCCTTGGCCGGACCTCCTCCCAATCAATCGCCATCCCTCAACGAACTTTCCGGGTTTATCTCAACCTTGACTCAACCTCGCTTCCCAATTCCCTCCGCCGCCGAGCCCGAAATCTCCCCTCCCTTCCGAACGAACCCAGCTCCCGTCATCGACAGGGAACGCAAAGAACCGCCGGCAGCAGCTTCGTCTCGATCGAATTTCACCCGGAATCAAGATGGCCCCGGCAAACAACTTCTTCAAGGCGGCGCGCCCCGTCCTCCGCCAGCAGCCCTTCGCCGGCGCCCCGATCCGCAACGCCTTCCGCACCTCCCAGTTCCGCGCCCAGTTCCGCGAGAGCTCCAAGAGGTGGCAGAGCTCGACCGCCTCTGCCGAGGGCGCCCAGCAGAGCTGGTTCAAGCGCATGTGGGACAGTCCCGTCGGCCTGAAGACGGTGCACTTCTGGTGAGTTCTCCCTCCGCCGCTACAAATCGTGGTTGGGAATAGATGCTGATATGGGATGGTGCAGGGCTCCTGTTATGAAGGTACGATCTCCCCCCGCCGCGCTGCGTCGAGGACCCCGCGAATGCCGTGTTACATCCCTTGCGATGCCGCCCGCGCGCGATGTCGGAGCTTGAGTCTGCGCGCATGATGGACGGATGCTACGGACACATCATGATGGTGCTGGATGCTGACTGCGATTGGTACAGTGGGCTCTCGTCCTTGCCGGTGTCGCCGACTTTGCCCGTCCCGCCGAGAAGCTCTCCCTCACTCAGAACGCCGCCCTGACGGCCACCGGTATCATCTGGACCCGCTGGTGCTTGATCATCAAGCCCAAGAACTACCTGTACGTGCCTGATTCTGTCCCGAGCTTGTCCGGAGCCGGTACTGACTGATTTGTCTAGCCTCGCCGCTGTCAACTTCTTCCTCGGTATCGTCGGTGTCGTGCAGGTCTCCCGCATCCTGCTCTGGCAATCTTCCCAGAAGAGCGTCGGCGACGTCGCTCAAGAGGTCAAGGAGGAGGCCAAGGAGGCTGTCAAGGCATAGATGGGCTACATGGCACGGTGAAGTGGGGTTGGAGGGGAAGTAGGAGGAGGGATACGGCGACCTGTGCAGCTTGGCCTGGCTGAGGTCTGGCTAGCTGCTGTAGAGTTCCGGTAATACCACAATCAGCGTGGGGACGAAGCATGAGGGATTCATCTGCTGCGGCAGCTGCCCCTGTGTGTTTTGAGTACATCGACAAGGTCTTCGGATCTGGGTTGTAGACTAAACCTTTCTTCTATTTCATTCATCGGGATCTTACACGGCCCAGGATATGCATCATTGTAGCCCGAGGGAAAGATATGACTACCTCGCAAATGAGGGATTCGCTGTACGTTGATCCATGACAGACCATTGCGGAGTATGATGGACGGCGACTCAGTCCCATTTGTGTTCGCTGCGAGCAAGTCATGAAGCCGGAATTTCAGTCGTCGCAGTACTTGGCTACTACCATTCGTCTAGCAAAAGGGAAGGTCGGTCACAGAAGGCGCTGGATCATGACAGCGCCAAACTCACTCACTCTGACCGAGTCCACTTGTAAGAGAGCATGTCATGCACGAACAGTGGCAGGGTTTACATGTCAGGCAGTCGGTTGCGGTGTTTTCGGGGACAAATGAAATAAATTTCAAAAAACTAAAGGAGTGTTCCGACAAAATCCTATCTGCGTGCAGGCCAGATCAACCTGAACGTTCCTCCGAGGCCCTACCCAAATACACATGTGTTGACATCTCCAAACACCAGTCTCGTGTGTCACTTCATCCAACATGCCACTTCACTCAATAATCCTCAATATCATCCTCCGGAATATCCTATCGCCCGAGCCTTCACCTCTCCGAGAACGTCCCCTGCGACCGGTGGTTCCCGAGTACTCAGAACCCACACTGCGTTGTGAGCCGGTCGACAATAGCCGGAGACGGCTAGCGATGCGAGGCATCTGGGTCTGCTCGCCCTGGGTCTGGGTCTGCTCGCCCTGGGTCTGCTCGCCCAAGGTCTTGCGGAGCGAGTACCTGGGTCCTTCCTGGCGCGGTCCGAACACGTTGTCCTGCAGAAACCACCGATGCATCAAGCTCATTCCCTTTCGCTTGTGTGCGCCGTGCGCCCACTGCCATGGAAACCAGCCAGCAAAGTCGCTGAGGGAAGAGATGTCGTAAACCTCGATAGGATGAAGTGGATGCGGCAGTGTCGGAATGAGGCCATGGCGCTTGTGATGCTCCAGGTTGGATGCTGCCCATATGGTCAAGTTCCACAGGTAGGTGCGGGTGAAGTTGACCTGGACGGCCTGGGGCTTGTCGAGGATCTTGCCGTTGCGGCGGAGGGTGATGACATAGTTCCGTGCCTCGGGACCCTCGTGCTCGACGTGGAATTTCTTGTGCAGGACGCAACTGTGGATGATCTGTTTCATGATGTCGAGGCGAGTCTCCCTGTCGAGTGCAATCTCCCGGTCCAAATCGACATGAGGTTGTATCTTGCGCAGCGGGAAGAGGCCATCGCATTCGTGGCGAACGCACACGGACTCGATCGAAGGACCTTGAACGTACTCCCGAAGGATAGCGCCGACGTACCTAGTAGAGGTACTCTTGGTGTCCTTGAGATGGTGCTGAATGACCCAGGTTCCGTGGTACTGTGGGACGATGTGAGACGATCCGGTGAGGTTTTCCGAGTAGAAATGCTTGTAAATGCCGGCGGTTTGACTGAGCCCAGAGTCGGCCTGCTGGGTTGGAGACAAGACTGGAGCAAACGGGAGCACCAGAGTGTCGTAGAGCAGCTCGTCGAATACTTCGGCCACGACGAGATCGTCCTTGCGAAGGAGTTCGCCGTTGAACAATTTGGCGGTGGGGATCTTCATGACTTGGCAAACTAGGAGCAGAGCTCCTTGAGGAGCATCCTTGGCGGGGTCTCGAGTGAGCTCCAAGACTTTGAGACGGAGCTTCTCTCCTTTCATCTGCTGTTCAGGAGGGGTGTAGTTGCTCGGATGGTTGATCCTCGATTTGGCGAGTTTGTCTTCTTCCTCGTCGCCCAGCCATCCATACTTTGGTCCTCCATAAGGCGGAGTCGGATCATTGTGGGGAAGCAGCTTCAGCGTCGTCCCGACGGCATACGGTGCGAGAGGGTCGCTGGATACTGAGTCCTCAAGAGACATGTTGATTGAAAAGTTGCTAGCAATTGATGAGTGAGTTCCGTGGCAAAGCCAGAGATCACCTTGAGAAGCTCGCGGATGTGATACGCGTAAGATGCGGCAGATGAGAACAGCGATGGCTGAGACCGAGGTAGAAGACTAATAATCAAGTCGAAGAAATCCAATAATGTGGAAGATGATTCTTCTACGTTCTGGATTATTGGTCTCTGAAAGGTCCGTCAAGGTAGGTAGGTTGCGACCTGGGAGAGAGGAGCACTCACCAAAATGTTAACAAAACGAAACCAGAACATCAAGGTGAAAAGCCTCCCCCAGTTCGCTGTGACTGGATTTCTGGTTAGCAAAAGCCTTGTAGAATCGTTTGATGGCTGATCCACGCAAGCTATCATATTTTACGACGGATGCGTCTTATCCTCCACTCTGACTACTCGTCCCGCGTCTTGATGATCCAGCGACTCTGATTTACTAGCCGCGAGGAGTGTGATCCAAGACCCATCGTTGTCTTCCCCAGTCATCAGTTTACCTCGTTCCCTTGCTCAAGTACCGGAGATAGAGCGCAACTGAAGGGCTCGTCTATTATGGCCTTTCTGGTTTGATACACCGACAAGGTCTTCGGACTTTGAGACTGAACTTTTCTGTCCACTTCATCATTGGAAGTTTAACAGTTGACAATTTAGGACTGCACGGCAAGGTTGGTTTTCGTACCCTCGTAGAGCCTATGGTCGAAGACTTCAGACATGATTACGAGGCACTTTTGGAGGGGTGCGGCGTACTGGGTGCCATTGCCAGGAGGCTGCGAAACCTTGCAAACTAGACGGAGATGCAGCTGAGGAGCATGTGCCTCGGCAATGTATACGGTCTCATCGGCATTCTCGTTGTTCTCGGGCAGGTAGCTGCTCGAATTGTCACAGCATGAATGCTACTAAGGCTTCCACAGCATCAAGGGGAAGCACAAGATGATTAAGAAAAGAGCAAAATTGATGTAAAACGGTGATTCTTCCACGATCAGTGCGAAGGAATAGAACCACCTACAATCAACTTAGGTGTTGCTTCTCAGTACTGGTAGAGGTTTGCAATATCTATGGCGGTTGGTTTGCTCTATTACTTAGACCAGCTCATTCGGAAGGGAGACGTTAAATGATTTGAGTTTTGCTAGTCGGGCAGTGTTAGTTAGCTACCTGGGCAGTATCCCCTATAATTTGTGATTATAGACAGAGTAGTAGAAGTAGTTAGAAGGATAATAATAACGACGACGATAACGACGACGATAATAATATACAATAATAATAGTAAAAACGAGAAAAAGAAATATAGTCGCTTTAGAAATAAGCTACGGATTACTTATGTATGTGTGTAGATACTACCCGGATAGCCAAATAGCACTGCCCAACTAGCAAAACTCAATAATTTATTTACGATCCTTCCATGAGACGTCCGACGTAGCCAACAACGTTTAAGGTACCAAGAGAAAGAACTTTAAACGAGTCTAGAGCTCTCTTAGCTTTGAAAAGGAGCCTTCATTTTCACCACTGGAGCAGTATCAACAGAGCCAGGCGACGTACGGTTCAGAACGATTGAATTGCTGGGCGAAACCAAACTTGACCTGAGAAAGACTCGTGGTCTCCGCCTGGGAGTGATCTGATCCGCTAATGTGACAAGCGGCAGGACATACGTTGCGCGGAACCTGTTGGCTACATCCAATAGGTCCCTGAGGCAGTAAGGTAACTCTAGTGACGAAAGTGGCAGATGAAGATCAGCTTCTTCCGCGATCCAAACATGTGTCAAACCTTCAGAGAACGCTCAGGAAAGCATGTTTCGGCAAGAACTAGAGAACCACGCGTCGGGGGTTGGAAGACGGAACAGGCTGCGTACCGCATGCTGCTATCTGACTCTGCAGGCACCAAAATCCACCACAATCGTGCGGAATGCGTGAATGATCACAAAACTCAAAGCATCAAAAATGGTTAGTCGTCCGCTGCGGAGAATGAAAACCAAGAAGATGGCTCTTCCCCGTGATAACACATCTCAATCCACCTTGGCTTACATGCTGTGACAGAGTGCGTCTTTTCTCATCACTGAATTCGGCCTTCGGCCTCCTCGAATTGCCCCCTTGCCTGTATATTCGATGTGATGAAAGGCACGCTGCTTGCGCCCGACAATCAATACGAGGTCAGCAAAGGTGGCCAGCCGCGACGAGTCCACCACGGCGCCTAAGCCCTTCGCCACGCACTGTTGGAGCAGTTGGAGCCCCTGAGATTGACCCAAGCCGGGGCCGCGCTCATCTAAAGCGTGCTATCTCCAGTGAGTTCGACTAAACCGAAAGCATTTGTATGATTGGGGTTACGGATACATGTCGGTGCTGCTGCCGGCGCTGCTGTCGGCGGGGCCGGGTCCAAAATGTAACGTTTGATTATTGTCATTTCCTGCCGTAATACACTTGGATGACCTCCATCTCACCATCATCTGTCGCACGACCATCAGGCTTTCCTCTTGTCTTCACCATATCCCGTCTTTTTCCATTCCAATTTGACTGATCAACCATTCGTACCACCCTGTTCACCAGAACTCAACTCAACATGTCTGCCTCTGCGTCTCAATCCCACGTTGTCTCGAAGGAAGCTATCAGCGTTGTTGAAAGTTTCGAGAAGGCCGCACAGTTGGACGTGTCCTCCATCACCACCGAAGCCCAGGTCGACAAGAGCTCGCCATCTTTGCTGCAACAGGTACTTGCGTACAGTCTCAGGAGTGGAAGCCAGTATGTCTGCGTGGGAAATCAGTCCGAATGGCAACTCATATCCTTTGACCGACCTGAGGTTCCAGCTGAGGCCGATCACTACAAAACTTCCGATTATATGCAGATAAGCCTCATCAAGAACATGGAGAATCTGCTTCCTGCCGTTATCGGATTCCTTGGAGATGCTCAGCAGATGGAGACAACTCAGATCACTTCTGCCTCTTCCAAGCTCTGAGAACCCCTACATACCGGCTTGGATGTGCCTCTCGTTCCTTTCTCTTCGTGAGTTGTTTGTTCTCATTCTCCGGTGACTTTGTTCTGATGCTGACGGTTTCTTCTGAAGGGTTCATGATCCATAGCACTGGGTCTCATCTGTCTCATAACATGTGGTTGCGGTATGAATGATACATGTATTACGTTAGATGAAATACAAGAATTCATTCTCATCACTTGCATGATGATAAACTTATTCATCGTGTGTGTGTGTGTGTGTGTGTGTGTATTTCCTGACATGTTCTGAGGCCATTGAACCAAGTCCTTCTTGACCTTGTCCGGAACACAAATATCCTCCAGTGCCCACCCCTACACCCCTCGTGCTCCAACCCAGCTGAAACCTATTTGTCATTCCGCGATGGGCTCAACCAAGAGCATGACATTGTAAGGATGGAAGTGGAAGTCATAAATAGCCAGTGAGACGTTCTCATAGATATCCTCGATGTTACCCCGAATAAAAGTGGCCTTGGTAATGTGTTAGCCAGGATAGACCCGACTGGGAGGGACCAAGTGCGGAAGATTGGGACTCACAGATAAGTTTTGAGCGGTCTTTCTCACCGGTCACCTTGGCACTGGGGTATCTAGAACTTGTCAGGCATTGAGTTTCTTTTCTCCCAGCATTGCTTACCTGTAAGGTGGAAGTCAATCAAGATGCGGATCTTTGCAGAGCTTTTAAGCATGAGAAAGCGCTGCCACGCAACATATTGAGTGGTGTTGAATTTGGTGTCGTTGAGACGATTGTCCCTGAACCAGATAAGGCCAGGGCGGGCAGGGGCGATGTTGCTGCAGCCGGAGGTGGTGGCACCATTGAAGGTCTCACCAAACGTGGCTCTCAGGTAAACTGGGGCTGAAATGTGCTGCATGATATGTAATTGGAGAACCTATGTCTGACGAGTCTGAGAAAATGTTGCGCAGCCGGGTATGGTCCTGGCACTGGTCGTTTAAAAATTAGTCCGTGATACAGCGTGGATTTGACAGTTCTTAAACGCTTGAATTTGTGCGACATAGCGGAGGGCATAACTCGATTTCAATCGAGTCTGTATTCCCTTCGTGGCTGCAGTGTTCTGTCGTGCATTGTTACCGAGCATACAAACAGCTCACGTCGGTGAAGTCGGTGAGCAGAATACACTAGCAACCATGTCACCGGCAATCTCCAGCTGAGCCCCTGGCCACAACCCCGCGTTCCCCGCCACATCCTCGGTGAGCATCCACACCTAACCCATCAACACAACCTCATCCCAACTCAGCTCATCGCTCATCTACCCGCCAAGCCCTCCGCAATGAACAACCCGCTACTCGGCCATCTCTCAAAAATACTCACCCTCTCCCCTCCGCAATCCTCTTATCCATCCTCAGCCCTTTCAGGACCTCTCACGTCGCACACAGGAACAGCCTACCTCTTCCTCTCAATCTCATCGGCCTTTCCCCGCCTCCAGATCCATTCTTACCACGCAATTCATTGGGCACGAGCATACATCTCAAATATTCCGACACAGCCCGCCTCGGACTCAGCTCCAGAACACGTCCTAGGCCTTTCCGAAACCCTGGCCAGCCCAGCGATCCGCGCCTGCATATCTCAAGACTTGGCCCACGTCCACAAGTTCCTCTCCCTCCTCCCCTCAATCTCACACGCCAACCTCCCAACATGCCTCATTCATGGTCTCTCAGGAACGCTCTATCTCCTCCGTCTCATACGCCACTGGGTCCCCTCATCAGCGCCGCTCGTCTCTCGCGCCATCGTCCACATCTCAGAATACCTCCTCTCTTCCCCTTGGTCCTGTCCTCAATCAAGATATCATGGCGCTGCTGATGGGGACCTGGGAACGCTGACGCAGCTTGTGTTGACCACACCACCATTGGCCTCGCGATTAGTGGAGAGACTTGCAGCGTTGCTGGACTTGCAAGGGCCGGACGGGGAATGGCCATCTCAAGGAACAGAGGCTGGGGCTGAATCTCTCAACAGTAAAAGAGATGTCTCATTCGCACAAGGCACAACGGGTCTAATAATATCTCTGCTATCACTTCGTCCTTTTTTCTCGTCTCTGCAGGAGCGCATAGACGATGCCATGGCAAAAGCGAGGAACTTCTTAAGCACCCAAGAGCTTGGGGCGAGAGAACCAAGTCTGTGGTACGGCGCTCTCAGCACCCCATTGTAAGCTTCTTTCTACACCTGATTGCCATTGATTGACGTGAAACGAGGTTGTCAATCACCTGGCCAAACCAAGAGACACTGACAATGCCCAGAGCCTTTCCAAAAGGCCCGTCCAGAACATCGATTGTGAACCTCGTCCACCACCCTAGATCAACATCAGAACCCCCATCAGATTCGTCCACATCTGGCTCAATAGCGATATCTTACGACCCCGGTGCCGCATGGATGTGGGGAGTATCAGAGAAGGAACTTCCGCGAATGATCTTTTATAACGACATTTGAACCCGATTTGCGACTATCATCATGAGAAGTAAGCATTATATATGGCTCACGAATTCTAGTGTCATTTGGGACAACTGGAACGCAGGCAACGTAAATGGGACCACTGTATTTGGCGCATAAGGTGAGAGGGTGAGTTAGTTCGGATATGGAGACGGTGGTACTGGTATGGGATGGTCACAAGGGTGCGGTATGGTAGCGGCGGTACCAGACCTTGTGGTGTTGACGAAACCCAAGCACACATGAGGGTTAGACCAGAGAGAGATCATCTTAATCAAGACTTGGAAATTTCGGTCTTCGGTCCTGTCATAAAGGTTCAGACAGGTTGGCGTCGGCGAAAGTTTTGACAGAATTTCGTTACGCCGTCTCGCTATGTAAGGTCGGATTTAGCTTTTTGCAGTATCCAGACATGCCATGCGCGGGCACGGTTTGGAAATCAAGCGAGTTCAAATTTAGAATGAGCTTGTTGGTTTTTACTGCTGAACAAAATGGACACAATGGTTTCTCCGGTCATCCTTCAAGAGTGATAAAAAGACGAGCCTCGCCCTTCCTCCTCCAGATAACTTGCTCACTGCTATCACCATCGCCTTCCACCCTCTTCACAATTCCAGCATCCAACTTCACCCATTGCCATCCTCCATATTTTACACATCTTGACACACGCGCACAGCAAACATGTCATCTACTTCCACCGTGCGAGTCCTCGACTCTACGGCTCTCGAAAGGTTCGACCCGGGCGAAGAGCTGGTGCTGACGCCATACCCGCTGTCCGACCCCTGCAACATCTGATTCGAAGATGAAGGCAGGGCGCCTTCTGATTTCGACCCCTCACAAGCCGACGGCAAACTCATCGAGGAAGCCAACCCCGCCACGAGAGCTCGCCTCGTGATCAAAAAGCGCCTCAGCGGCGCGTCGGCGAACGGCCAGAAGGTCCTCCTCTGCCGCGTGGAGCAGGCGCCAACCGCCGTCGAGATGAATAACGCACACGCGAACCACCTGTCGGAGGCCGACCTGGTCATCGTCAAGACATTCGCTTCGAGACCGCGCTACGAATGGTTTCCTGATGGATACCGATCCCACGATCATGCATCTGGCGAGCCGAATTCGGAGGCCGCAGTGTACCAGCACCTGTACGACAACGGGCTGACCGGCTATCCTCACTTGGCACCGCAGTACTATGGCGCTTGGGTGTTTGAGAAGGAACAAAAGGGCCAGAATGCTTGCGCCCGCGACAGATACACCAGTCTCATCGTGATGGAATACATTCACGGAGTCTCCATTGAGCAACTTGGCATCCGAGACTGGGACCGTGATAACTATGGCCCCCTCCAACTCAGCACAACCCCCATCGCACTGTACAGAAACTCCGACAAGACGCTCCTGATGGATACCGAAAGCCGACTTCGCATATTCAAGACCTTGCTCGACGGCGTCGTCCGAAAATTGCACGCTGGCATCTTTGTCGATAGGATGGGCCTCGCCCCTAGCAAAGTCTTGGTTTCTCTCCGCAACAACGGGAAAGAGCTTGAAGAACCGAGGGTTGTCTCCGTCGGTTACTACATGGATAAGGTGTGGTCTCGGACCAAGGAGGGACGTGATTCGGGAAAACCCATGATCGCACAGCAGCTTGACCGACCACCTCATCCTGCTCTGTACTTTCCGGCCATATCAGAAGTCTCAGACTTTCAGGGCTGGTTTCCTCGTGAATGGTGCACCTACGACTCCGACCAGTTCCATGGATGGCTTTTGAGTGAAAGCGGGTTCGGGCCCTTGGACGGCAACGAGAAATACAGCAACCTTCCTGATGAGGATGCTGAATACTTGGGTCTCTCTATGTTTCCAGTCTTTTAATCTGCAGATGATTTTTCCGTTATTTGATTTACAGACTAGAAAACAAGATACATCACATTTGTCAGCATAGTTCGCCAGATGAAAATTGAAGAATTTTCTTGATGTCTTGGTAATTTTCGTCACTCTTGATCGTGTTTGCTGGGTTCTCTGGACTTGGGGCAGAAAGACTCTGATTGAAAGGCCTCACACTGCTCACAATGGGAACTTTTTTCCTTCGGTTTTGTATTGCTTTCTATTAACGTTCTGTTACCCGCATTTCAGTCATACATTTTCACAATCACATCCTCAATCATAGACTAGGCAAGCTCAACGAAACAATTAGCAGAGTAAGACTGAACTTATAGGGTGCGCCTGTACATCGGAGTCCTCCGACAATGCCGCCAAGCGACTAAAACCGTCTTGTGTTCACTGCTTCTGCCTTTTGGGGCTAGAAGTTTCCTCTTCCGAGGCATTCTCATCCTCACTTCTCTGGCGCTTTGGAGGGAGGAACTTCACGCAACGTACAATTCCTCCAGATTCCAAGTCGCCATAGATAGTGCGCCACGAGGGGGGTGCGGCGCCGTTGACCGTCTCCACGTTGCACACAACCCACTCGTCTGCCTTCTGGCCTCGCAGCTCTTCGATGGCATTCTCGCATCCTTCGCCATACGAGGGCTCGGGCTGCGAGCTTCGACTTTCAGCCGCTAGGTCCGCTACCATCTTCCTGAGCTCACGAACTCTCCGGTAATTGTTGTCCATGAACATCCTGAAGGCAGGGTACTCGGAATTGACTTCGATCGTGCCGAAGGCCAGATAGTCGTTTGTGGACATCCTGAAGACAGAGTACTTGGAGCTGTCTTCGATCTTGCCGAAGACCCAGCCAAGCCAGTGCTCACACAGCCATGGACTTGTATCCCACCTTTCCGGATACCATCCCTGGAAGCGTCAAATAGAATGAATACAGAACCTCTCGAACGGGTGAGGCGGGTTAGGCAGCTCTGTAAGAGGGTGTCGACTAGGCCATTCGGGAAGCTCGGGATTTCTGGCATACTTATTCTTCTCGTAGATCTCGCTACAGGAGTAATCGGCGAGAACCACTATAGTAGGGATCGGTGACCCGTTCAGGTCAAGGACTGTCACCAGGATGTTCCGAGGACTCAGATTGTGGAGTTGTACACCGACATGCAGAGACTTGACGACCCCGTCCAACCAAAGCTTGAGAACGTCCAATCGAAAAGTCTCGTCCTGAGGATTCATTGAACCTAGATCTGACCGGTATTCGGGTCTCACATCGTAATCCTTCGGCACGAGCACGGGATCCTCTGGATCGTTCGAAATACAAAGGTTCTTGATAGAGAGCCCTCGAATGTACTCCACGGCAATGGCGCCGGCGTATCGGATCTTCGGGGCATTTTTGTCTTCTTCATTCACATAGGGGACCTTGACAACCCATGTGCCGTAGTAAGATGGTACATGGTAAGGAGAGCCCATGATATTTCCACGCACCAGATGCTTCTCGTAGTGAAGCCTCAAGGCAGTCGATTCGCGAGCGTAAAAATGCTCAGCAAGTTGCCAATTACCGTAGGGAGGGTCCCCGGGTCCGCCGGGGAATACGAGTCCATTCGAGACCTTGACGACAAAGTAATCAACCGAGTCCTTCGTCTTTGTTTCGGGATCTAAACGCGGGAACGGCATTTGTGGCTGCACAAGGGATCGCGGGTACTTTGTCATCTTGCACAGCAACACTTGGTAAAAACCCTTCGTATCGTTCGAAAGATGCTTGATGATTTTAACATGGGCGATGGTTTCCTTGTCGACACCTGCGTCCGGGTCGAAGTTCCTAAGGCCATATCCAGCTGAGCAGGAGTGGCGGGGGGGTAGAGATTATAGCCCCACGGCTCGGGCGGATTGAGGCGCGGTAGCAACTCAAGCGTTTCACCGGCGTCGAACCATGGGCAATTCCGATTCATGACGATATATATGTGGTGATTTGCGGCGGTTTGAAGATAAGGTGACCGAGTCTTCAGATGATGTCGACGGGAGGCGTGCAGGACTGAAGCAGTTATAAGATTCTTGGACGGTTGCCGAAGAGATTTCTGAACAGAAGGGGCAGGATAAAACAGCTGCTGTAGCAGAAGAGAAGAATTGGGGGCTCGGTGGCGTCAGGGAAGACTCGGTTTCTGTTCGAGGAGGCAAAGAGCCGGTGAGAAAGCAAGAAGTCGTCCTCATCGCTTCTATTATAATCATTGTTATAGTCGTCCTCATCCTCGTCCTCATCCTCGTCCTCATCCTCGTCCTCATCCTCGTCCTCATCCTCATCCTCATCCTCATCCTCATCCTCATCCTCATCCTCATCCTCATCCTCATCCTCATCCTCATCCTCATCCGTTTGCTCCAACTCCGATTACAGGACGTCCCAGCCGAGAGAATCTAATGTCACACATCCTTTGCGGGTCTCAGTCCCATCGTGGCATTCAATCAGTTGCAAATCTGGCGGGCAAGTACGGAAGGTTTTGGACTATGACGATAGGGAAAACACCGCGTCTATTTTACGAGTATTAAATTGATGCTGCTATATCGCTAGAGGCCATTATTATAAACTGTAATCATGTACCAAATCTCAATCAAGCTCACTGTTTCTGCCTCTTGCTCTGGTCAGAAACCGTGTCGCCTCCCTCTTCATCATCTTCATCGTCTCTCTGTCGCTTCTTGCCGAGAACACTCCTGGCAGACTGCACAGCTTCTTCCTTCTTATAAGCCAGATCTTAGTAGGCCTCCCGGTTCATGAACTCCGAAACATCCACCCCCGTGTGGTCCTTCACTGAATGTAGAAAATCGTCCTTTGAATCTATGGGAGTATCTTTATAATTGGCTCCGTGGTCTGCCACAAGCTTTCTCAACGAGCGATCCGATTCGTCGCCTCGGTCACTGAAGATATAGTAGGACCCTTCCTCAACCTTGCCAAACATCTTTCCAAGCCAGCAGTCAAACAGCAACGGATGCTTGTCCCAGAGCGGCGGGTACCAGCCGGAGAACTTGGACAGCGGGATGATGCAGCACCTCTCGAACGGATGGACTGGGCGCGGTTCCTCGGCGAGCGGGTGTACGTCAGGCCATTCCGGGTCTTTCGCGTACTTGGTATTCTCGTAGATTTCAAAGCTGAAGTAGTCGAGAAACACAACTCGGGGCACAGCAGCCTCAGAATTGCTGTCGTCAACAATCGTTACGAACGTGTTTTGGGGGCTCAGGTCGTTGTACTGCACACCGGCATGCAAGGTCTTGACAACACCATCTAGCACACCCTTGAGCACCATCAACCTGAAAGCCTCATCTTCTGCGTCGATTACCAGACCAGCGAATTCCGGTCCTCGGAAAAGACCTGGGTCGTTTCTCGGAATAAGACAAGCGGTGTCGAAGAAAGATTCATACCCATCGTCGTCTGATTTGAGGTTGATGTTACGGTTCTTGATAAGCACGCCCTTGCAGAGATCATCGATGGAAACCCCGCGGATGAACTCCATGGCGACGGCGCCAACATATCGCATCTTCTGCTCACCGGCCTTGTTCTCGTAGGGAAGCTTGACGACCCACGTGCCAAAGTAGGACGGCACATGATACGGATATCCCATAATACCCCCGCGTTCCAAATGCTTCTGGTAGAGGTACCTCAGCGCAGACGAGTCTCTGCTGTGGTCCTGGTCCGCCAGCTCCCAGTTGTTCCCGGGTGGGATACCTCCCCCGCCGGGAAACAGGCCCCTGTCCGAAACCTTCAGGACGAAATGGTCAGCAAGATGTTCCTTCGCGTCGGACGGCGGAAACGGCATCTGCGACTGTGCGAGGGTTTGCGGATACTGGGTGGCTTTGCAGAGCAGCACCTGCGGACCACGGCCCAGGCCGACCCGAAGATGCCTGACAATCTTCGCCTTGCAGATGACCGCTTTGTCGACTTCCGCGTCCGGGTTGAAGCCGCGCGGGTATGCGGCAATGTTCTTCATCTCAGACCATTTAGGAACGGGGTAGGCGCCGCCCCAAGGTTCAGCTAGATTGAGATGGGGAAATAGTTCCAGTGTTTGACCGACATCGAACCAAGGGGCCTCTCGGGGAGGTTGGAAGTCCATGATTTCGTATGTGTGTAATATGGATCAAAGACCGCTGACGAAAAGCGGAAGATCTGTCGGAAGACGAGAGCGCTGGTGTAGGACGGGAGTGGTGGCGGCAGGAAAGAGCGCTGGTGTGAGGAAGCAGCTTGATGACCGAAAAGTGCTCTGATAAAGTGAGAAAGCAACTACTCAATGTCAGGAATGTTGGAGTTTTTAATGGATCTTATGGTGATCCAGAAAGAAAAACTTTCCAGTAAGGAGGTCCGCTGAGGCTGTCTCCGGCTGTAAAACCTTAACAACCGCAGTCCATGAACCGAAACGGAGTTGTAGGTCGCCGCCTCCTTCCAAGAAACCAGACAGCCAAACACCCGCGCGAAAGGTAGGCACCGTTCGGGTTCCTTACACCTCGCATGGAGGAAGAGAGAAAGACGGAAAGGACGCCGACGAAGTGCCCGCTACCAAATAATGCGGGTGGCCTTGATGGTCTCGGTAACCTTGATGACGATAGTTCACCGCAGGAAGGGACTTCTCCAACGCGGCAAGCACCGAAGCCAGAACCAGAAGGTGCTCAGGTCAACCGCTTTCCTTCTCCGTCACCCAGTTACGCCGCCTTCATACTGCCTGTTCTTCCTTCGCAGGCGGCTTTCTCCAAAGTCGATACACAACATCCAACGCATCAGAAACTCCGACAATATACTTTATACACCCGAAAGCTGGTCTCCTTCCCATCGCGGCAGCCAATCAGTCCTGATCCCATACCCTTCCCTCCCAACTACGAGTTGGTCACGGCTCGAAGGCTCACCAATGCCCACCTACATGACAACCGGCCGATTGAACGAACTACCTGTCTCCGACTAGCTCCCTCCTACCTATGCGCTCATCGATTAACGGAGGAAGATGGAAAACACTGTGAAGGGGGGTTGGCTGCTGTCAGGTCCTCCGGCGCCCAAGTTCTCTACCCAGATCACGCTGCCATCCGATCAACTCCTAACGCCCGTCTCCCGCCTCCCAGCCAATCTCACCAGCCAGCCGCGCCCACCTTCACCCGCGCCAACTTCCCCAGAACCCAGCCTACGAAATGATGTGTGTCGTGTACCACTAGAATGGGGGCCTAGCAGCATGTTGATGGACCTTGGTGCCGATTCCGATCCCCACCTCTCTCGAATGTGGGCGAAGAACCTTAGCCGTGGAACCTTTGTCGTACTCGACATAGACACCGTCTGTCAAGGACAAGCAGGTCCTCACCTGACACCGCACCACAGCCTCACGCCACACATCACCGAGGATTACCCGTGTGTCAATGAATAATTATATATGCTAAACGCCGCATAACACATCTGTATAGAATACGCCATGCCGTGGCCCGGCACAATGCAAAATCGGGTACAAATCCCATCAACATCAACATCCACATACACGCAGCTGCCTACCCATCCTTTCATCCAACTTGATCCAAACATGAAAACCAAAACACAGGCATACCCAAAAATAGAGGAACGCCAGGTGTCAACCACCACCAGACGAAAAAGAAGTTCAAACTTTTTGTATCTTTTATTCCCTAGCGGAGCATCTGCTTTCTCTCCAAAGGTAGCATCGTACATCTGGTCGTTGGTGTGGGTTGCCGTACAAGTACACGGTTTACATCGTGCCCTTTCCTTTTTCTTTTCGTGGTCGTTATCGCGGTTTTTCGTTTTCAACACAGGGGAGTCCAGCCCGGCGACCGCTCGTATTACGTGGTTGGTCGTAAGTCCATTTGCCGTCAGCTCTACATGACGACACACTCGCCTTCCTGTTGCTTGCCGATCTTGCTACGGGAGATGCGCTCGCGCTGCCGGGGGCCGTTCTTGCCGGCGCGCTTGAGGTCCTCGAGGCGCTCGCGGGCCTTGGGGAAGTCTTGGGCTGTTGACACAATTAGCATGCGCTTGTAGCGAGAAGTCAAAAGGAAACTTACCAGCCGCTCTCCAGTACCACCGCTTCGCATCCTCCATGTTGGCCGGCACACCGATGCCTACTTCCGTAAAGTATCCCATCGCGTACTCGGCCTTTGCCAAACCAGCCATCGCCGCCTTGCGAGCCCACAAGTATGCCTCCGTATCGCTTTGCTGCAGGACATTATCACTGCCAGTAAGGTACCATCCACTGAGCGACAGCTCGGACTGGTGCTCGCCCTGCTGGGCAGCGCGAGAGTACCACATGATTGACTGTCGAGGATCGATGGGGCAGCCCATGAGACCATATTCAAAGGCGCATCCGAGTCGATACTGCGAGAATTTGTAGCCAAGATCCGCCGCCTGTCTGAAGAGGGTAAAGGCGTAGGCCTCGTCCTTAATGATGGCGTCGTTGGGAGCTGCGGACTCGTACAGCAGACCGAGCTCGTGAAGGGCGTGGGGGTTCTCGGCGTCGGCGCGTTCGGCAGCCCGCTTCAACCAACCCACAGCTTCGCGAGGATTCTTGGGCTGGCCAAGAAGTCCCTTCAGCAGAATCATACCCACCTTGTACATGGCTGGCGTGTCCCCAAGCGTTGCAGCTCTCTTATACCACTGAATCGCCTTCAAGGGATCTTTCCTCGTACCGCCGCCCTCTTCGTGACCAATCTCGCAGCACACTGCCGTCCTGTACGCGGCCGCCGCGTGTCCTAGCTTGGCAGACGACTGGTATAGCGTGAAGGCTTCCTTATTGTCGGGCTCCTGTCCAAACAGTCCGCGTCCAAGACAATCTGCGTAGAAAAACATGGATTCGGGGTTTTGGGCATTCGATAGCTTCTTGAGAATCTTGTTCGCATCCATGAGGTACTTCTCACGAGCGCGAACCTTCATCTTCGGGTCAGCCAAGTGAGGCGCTAGTACGTCGACCGCCTCCACGAGTCTCTTTGCCAGCCTCAGGGCAGACTCTTGGTCATTGGGATTCGTCTTGATGATCTGGCGCAGGCGCTCGAGCTCCTCCTGTGTGACTGGCGTCGAAGCTTCCGTGAAAGACAGCGTGCTGGCTTGCTGGGGAGCCATCTGCTGCGGGGGCATCGCACCAGGACCGGCGGGAGGCATTGGTCCGCCCATTCCGCCGTTGTAGTTGCGGACAGGTGCAGGCTTGTCGCTCATGCTGACCATCGAGTTGGGCATATGACCAGGGCGAACTGGAGTGGGATGAGATGGCAGGGAATCACCGCTGCGACTTGGAGACGGTCCATGAGGGAGACCTGGACGTCCCATTTGCGGCGGGTTAGGTTGTTGTGGTTGATCCCAGCCGTTTGGTGGACCGTTGTAAGCGTCTTGTTGGTAGCCGCCATTCATGGGTGGCATTGGCGGCGCGTCACCGGCCATCTCGAAAACGGCTTGCTGCGATTGTCTCAAATCAGGTTGCGACTTTGTGCGGCTCATTTCCGGCATGCGCTTAGCACCCGGTTGAGTATGTTCCGCAATGCCGGGTCTCATGTGCTGATCGAATGAGCCGCGCGGGCGGTGTGAAGGCTGCGCATCGAAGTCGGGAGCACCACCTGGGCCCCCTGGGCCTCCTGGGCCTCGGTAATCGTTACTCGTGCGCGGAGGCTGATAGTATGCATCGTAGACATCGCCGAATGATGCTCTGGTGTCCCTATAACCATCCTGGCCTCCATCATATCCGTCATACCCGTTCTGAGGGGGCAGCGGGGGGTTCGGAGGGTGCATGCGCTGCGGCGGCGGTCTGTTGCCCTGGGCTGTAGATGGCCGGGGAGGAACACCGTTACGAGGTCCTCCTTGGCTGCCCGGCCCTGCATACGTGTCTTGCCGATGCGGCGGCGCACGTCTTTGCATGGGGTCATTGACCGGCATCGTCATGCTCCGAGGCGGGGGGCCGAAGTTGTCCTGCGGGCCATAACCATCGTCTCTGAAGTCAGGCCCTCCGTAGCCGGGGTCGGGGCCACGTCGCGGCTCCGGATATCCTCGCGGCGGGGGCGGCCCTCTGCCATTCGGCTGTCTGGGAGGTGGTCCCTGGGCTGCGATTTCCATGCCGGCCATCTTGTTCAGTATCGCCTGCTCTTCGTCGAGGTCTGTCTTGCGGCCCTGTCCCGGGAACGCGGGGAAGGCGCCGCCAAAGCCCTGGGGGCCAGGTGGGCTTATTGGGCCGCCATCTTGCGGTCGGGGGCGGTTCGCTAGCGATTGATCAGCATACGAGAGCAGTGACTCCATTGAGCAACTTACCCGCAGGGTCTGAGTTCGCCGATCGCTCGTACGGAGCAGGTCGTCCTCCGCGTCCCATGGGGAATCCTCCGCGGCCACCAGGGCCACCACGACCCGGGTGAACGGGGGGATAGCCGCCGCGAACACCGTCGGCTGTTGGGGGACGTGCTATCGGGCCTCCTCTTCCCATCTGTGGCGGCGGACGCCCTCCTCTTCCTGGGCCATTGGGTCCTGGGCCGCCGCCGTAGTAGTCCTGTTGCGGGTAGCCCTGATTCGGCGGTGGCGGGCCTCTTCCGTAGTTCTGGTCCTGGTACCCTCCGCCGTAGTCCTGGCCGTAGCCGCCGTCGTCGTAGTAGTCATAGCCGTAGCCGTCTTGCTGGTAGTTGTCGTACTGCTGGGGAGGAGGAGGGCCCCGTTGCGCAGGGCCGGGTCCAGGACGAGGCGCGGGCGGGCCACCGCCGTATGGGCGCTGTCCCGGGTATCCTGCCATCGTCTGGTCTGTTTTCCCGCCGCTAGTCTGGTCGAAACCGTGCCGTCGTCGACTGGGTGGTTTCGCAGGCGCAAATTGACGCGATCGGGAGTCGCCTCGTGTGGTTTTGGGCCGATTGGTGTGTAGGTTTTAAGTGTGTGTTGTTGGTGTGTGGTCAACAAGGTCGGGAAAGTGCCGGGTTCAGGACAGCTCCTGCGCGGCTCGGGGTCGCATAAAGGTTGCTCTGGGAAAGGAGAGAAATTAGGTAGGTGTAGCTCCACAGCTTTCCGGAATTGGATCGGGCTGCTACAACAACAAGCGCATCGCTGAGCGGTTCGAGAAAAGAAGAAGAATCAGAATCGCAACACCAAGTAGCGGCGGCGGCGGGGGTTTCT